CGAACTGGCGGCCTAGCCTAGGTGCCAACCTGGCGACCTGCGAGACGTGCTCGGCGACAAATTCGACATGCATATCTGAACACTCCCACGATCCTTGGAAGTTAGCCCACGTGCTGAATGATCCGGAGGGTGGTCAACGTGCACGGTGGTTACCACAGGGAATCTTGGACCACTAAGACGACTTCTCAAAAATCTCGGATATGGTGCATGAAGCCCACGCCAAACAATGCATATATAAAGGCACCAACCCCAATGGCAAGGGAGGCAAGTAAGCAAGTAAGCAAATTCTAGCTCTGAAACTTTGTGATTTTTAGCTTGCAGTCTACTACGAGAGTACTGACTTAAGCATCGGAGCGACCTCGCCGGGTTAGCCACCCCGGGTCCTCTGACATTTGTTTTTTTGTAGGTCTCTAAAGAGCAACGAGCTCATCAATCCAGCTCGTCACCAGGCAGCTTGCCACCTAGGCAGCCCGACACCTCACAAGCAACTCCTTACCTGGTCAGCCCGACACTTCACAGGCAACCCGACACCTCACAGGCAGCTCGCCACCTGGTCAGCTCGGCACCTCATAGCCGGCTCAGCACTATATTCAGCTCGCCACCTAGCATGCCCAGCTCGACTCAGCTCGGCAGCCAAAGTTCTCCACTTTGGCCTGAGTCATCGACCACTTGGAAGCAGACCAAATGACGAGGTACTTAGCCAAAAAATTGAGCCATCACCAAAAAATCGATACATCATTAATAATTACTATTAATTAAAAATTAATATTATTAACAATTACTATTAATTAATTATAATTATTATTACTAATTATTAGTATTTTTAATTACTATTAATTAATAATAATTATTATTATTAATTAATATTTATTATTATTATCACTAGTTAATAATTAATAACTATTAATTATTGTTATTGCTAATTAATTATTTAAATTTATTATTACTAATTAATCTTTAATAATTATTATTTATTACTAATTATGATTAACTCATATTCAATTTATTATTAATTATTAATTCATTGTTAAGTAATTATTTGTATCATTGTTATTAATTAATTAATTATTCTACTTATTATTAATAAATTATTATTATTATTTAATAATTTATTATTATTAATGACTAATATTGTTAATTATTTATAAAAATTATTCATATTCAATCATTTTATTATTAATTAATTTCAATTATTGTTAATTTATGCATTACTGATTATTAATATTATTAAAAACTGTATAATACTATATAATACTATTATTGATTATTAATTGTTAATAATATTAAGTACTAATTAGTCATTAATGAATTGATATTAATATTATTATTATTATGCGTTGTTAATAATTTTATTTATTAAGACATAATTATTCATTCATTAATTAATAATATTATTCTTAAGCAGTTATTATTAATTATTCATTAATTAATAATATTATCCTTTAAGTACCAATGGTCATATGTTTTTAAGGTTCAAAAAGGGTAAAATCGTCAAACGGTCAGTGAATCAACAAATAAATTTGTTGACCGTCCAAACTGTACTTTGTATTTAACGCTCCGTTGATAAGAGCAATTGAACTGTCACAAAATCGCTGAACGCATACAATGACCATTCAGAAATCAGCGTTCAATGATAAGAAACATGCCCTAAATGCCCTTTTGGGAGGGCTGATGAAGTACAGTGGCATTTGGTATTTTGAGCTGGGCCCTATATAGATGGCTTCTAAACTATGTTTGATGAAAAATCGGAGAGCCCAAATTTTCTGTCTATCAATCTATTTTTGGACTGTGGATCATATGTGATAATGAATGGCCCGGTGAAGAGAGATGAGGGCAACTCAGAGGGCAGTCTCCCTCCCGGTAGATCTTAAATTCCCCTCGGTGGTCAGATAGTCTTCAAGTTATCTCGGCACTCAATGGACATCCTTCTTCCATACCTTGGTCTCTTGACTCCTTTTTTCACTTTCTAAGAACTTTGTCTCTATTTCTTTTGTTTTTGTTAAAAGAAACATAAATTCTGTGGCTCATACTTTGGCCTCCATGGCCAAGTCTTTTGTTAGGGAGGAATTGTGGTCAAGGTTCAAAGTACTGAAGCAGGGCAATAAGCCGTTAGGGTGTATTGGCTGTATCATTCATTTTTTTTTTTAAGTTTTTTTTTTTTTTTTTCTTCAAAACTGATTAAGAGGGGTCGATTTATGTCCCAGCTACCTTCTGAATAAGGCCCTAACCTGATACAACCCCGTAGGGGTATATAGGGAAGAACCGGATACAATATGTATTGACCAATATGGACAGATATATAACAATTTTTTTAACCTTGATTGTGGTTTAGACCTCCCCCTTTTCTAGACAGTGTTTTCTTTTGCAATAGAAGTTTTCTTTTATTAAAAATAAATAAAAAATCAATTTTTAGACTGTCTGCTGCTCGGCTTCAGCCTCTTTAGATATCCTATCTAAAGTGTCTCAAAGTGGCTGAACCAACTTAGCTGATGGCCAGGGTGGTTCAGTTGATTTGATGCACTTCAGATAAACTACTTAAAAAGTTTGAAGTAGACGGCCCTATAAATAACAGTTGAACAGCTGATTTGGACTCTCCAGACTTTTCACCAAACATAACTTACAAGCTATTACCACATTGGAAATTCATAAACCGCTGTAGTTCAGCCCTCTCAAATGGGGCACCGTCCAGCTCAGCCCGCCCAAACGGGCAATAATATACTGGCCTAACCAGTGTTTTCAAATTGCCGTTGGCCATTCAGCCTAAAAACCATTCAGGTAATTGGTTTTTCTTTAGCAAAAACCATTCATTTGGTCAGTGATTCACTGATTCGGTGATCAAACTATTGATCCATTTGAACCGAATGATCAAATTATCGACTCAAAAATCAGTGATCAGAACAGTTCCAATTTCGAATAGATTTTTAAAACCTTGGGTGTAATAGCCGAATATGACTACGAAAATCAAACAGATGGAATATAAGTGGATCCAAGTTCAGGTCCGAATTTGCATCACTGAACCACATTATGACGGAAGATGGAACTAGTACATGGACAACAACACCATGATCCACACGTAACGGAATGGAAATCCAATAGAAAACACCATGATCCGAAGTCCGAACTGGTTACAGGAATTACATGGTATTGACCAATGGGCTAGTGCCCAACAAAAGGAACCTTAACATGGCCCATGTTACATGGGGATTGGGCCGGCGTGACTCCAATCTAATTTAACGTGGATCTTCAAAAAAAAAATCTAATTTAACGTGGTAAGCCTCTCCTGAGTGGCTGAGTGCCTGAGTCCTGTGATGCTGAATTGACGGACGTATTATGAGTGCCTACCAACATCGGGAGCCGTAGAGAATACGGAGTTTACATCTACGAGTTCACGCAGACGCGGTAATGACGGTCAAAACTCAATGCTCTCTTTCTTTCATTTGTGATTGTGAAGGATAGAGATTAGAATTGTCATGCTGGACCTCCAAGCTGCAACTTGCAACCTGATATACAGGCTTTAAGTTGTAGATGATGATAGTGAGTGAGTGAGAGAATAGCGTTCAGTAGAGGAGAGCGTAATTTGTGGAATATTATGGTGGTTGTAATGCTACGCTGTAGCGTGTTGAGTCATCCAAGTAACTTGGACTTGGTTGAAACTTTAAAGGTTGAGAATGTTGGAGGATTATAGTGAGACGGGATGCACCCTAACATAAGCTTTTTTAATTAATATATTATCAAGTAAGTATAAGTAAGAAGATTAGCTTCCATCTTTCTCCAAAAAGGAAACTAACTATATATTTAATTAATTAGATTCTGGTTCTCAATTTTGTTAATTTTCACTACGCCCTATTGGTTACGTATTCTAATTCTTGTCACTTGGCCAAATGATTACAATCTGACGAATAATAATCATTCGGATCCCATCAACTAGGATCTAAGGTCATTTATTTTTCAGCATTTTTCTTAAATTCATTACAATTTTTCAAAATGTCTAAAATTTACCATGTCACTAACTTGACATCAAACGGATTAACGGGTGTTAATATATTACCATTTTAATCTTCATAGAAAAATATAAAATATAAACAAAATAAATTAACGGGTATTAATATATTAACATTTTAATATTTAGACATGAAAAAAGGAGAAAGTTCAAAAAAATACTTTCAAATATAAAATACATAAAAAACATAGAAATCACAAAAAAATATAAACATTTATAAAAATTGCAAACAAAATAACAAATTATTTTCAAATTATAGAAACTATAGAAATTGAAAAACAAAATTAGAAGATAAAAATTGTAGAAGAAAACCAAAAATTATAGAAAAACACAAAAACTGTAAATAAATAACAAAAATACAGTAAAAGTTATAGATTGTAGAAAATAGAAAAATGTAAAAAAACAGAAATTACAAAAAACATTGGAATTGTAATAAAACACTAAAAGGCAAAAAAAAAACAAAAAGTTTGAAAACTGAAAAAGACAATTTTTCCTCTAACTCACAATTTAAGAGTAATTTGGTCATGAAAATTACTATTTATGTTGACATCAACCTGTAAGTTTTGAAAAATAAAAATTTTATAACATAGTGAGTTTTAAATATTCTGAAAAGTCGATGAAGTTAAGAGAAATGTTGAAAATTCATGATAAGTTTTTTAAACAAGTATAAATAATAAATTGTACTGGGATATAACAGAAGCTTCCATGTTTGACACACGAGACAGAGAGACGTATCCACGAATATGGATCTCTACCTGACATCATCTCGACTATAAAAAATATTAAACATCCAACGCTACAATTAAATAGACTTCGATTTCTGAGCATGATGTCAAACAAGAAATAAAGACTTCAGACAATGAACCATTTCCTTCTCTTCTTCACGAGGAATACATAGAATGAAATTCGTGCTTCCCCTTCACAAACGTTTATAAATTTACCCAAGAGCCTCTCTCTCTCTATATATATCTCTGGTGAAGTGAAGAAGAACTGACGGATGATGTTGCACCTGTACCGTCTCCTCCTCGTCCACCTTTTCATCTCCTCCGCTTTCTCTGTTGATTTCCTATTCAATTCCTTCAATGACAACACGAATCTTACACTCGTTGGGGATGCTCGAGTTGATTCCTCTGTCATTAAATTAACAAAGGCCTCCGATGGGTACTCCGTCGGACGAGCCTTCTTCGAATTTCCAATCCGCATGAGAAATAACTCTAATTATCTCTTATCCTTCTCGACCTCATTTGTTTTTTCCATACTCCCTCCAACCGGTTCAAGCCCTGGTTATGGTCTTGCCTTCGTTCTCTGCAACTCTACCTCTTTCGGCATCGGCGATGATGACACGTCGTACCAATACTTTGGTCTATTTCCCAACTCCACCCGGCGTTCCATTGCTCCTATCCTAGCCGTTGAATTCGATACCGGCTACACCCCAGGAACCAACGATCCGGATGGAAACCACGTTGGTGTTAACCTCAACAGCATTGACACCTCCGAGGTTCAGAAAGCCGAATACCATGACCACGACGGTGACGTAGTCCCTATTGATATGCGGAATGGTGAGAACATACGTGTTTGGATCGATTTCGACGGGAGTCGCGGGACCGCTCCCGAGATCAAGGTCACAATTGCTCCTGCAAGCGTTTCTCGACCTTCTAAAACTTTGTTCAATTTTTATGACAATCGAATAGGCCAGTACATATCCAACGAGATGTTTGTTGGGTTCTCTGCCTCAAAGGACACTTCAGGAGAAGCGCAGAGGATCTTAGCTTGGAGCTTTACTAATAAAGGATTTGGCTCTTTGCCTGACATAAACACAACAAAATTGCCAAGTTTTACACCGCATCTTCCACATTCGCAGCCGTCATATCCTGTAGGAGTTATATTTGGAATCGCTGTTTCTTCTTTCGCCGTTATAATTTTAATCTTATTTGGATCGTATTGGTTTTGGCGAAGGAAGAGGAAAAGCGAAGAGGAGGACAACATCGAAGAATGGGAACTTGAGTACTGGCCCCACCGGTTCTCATTCCAAGAGCTTAACGAAGCAACAAATGAATTTTCCAAAGAAAATCTTGTAGGATTCGGTGGTTTTGGCAAAGTATACAAAGGAACTCTATCCAACAACACAGAGGTCGCAGTCAAATGCGTCAACCATGATTCCAAGCAGGGATTTAGAGAGTTCATGGCGGAGATCTCAAGCATGGGCAGGCTGCAACACAAGAACTTAGTCCACATGAGAGGGTGGTGCAGGAAAGGCAGCGAGTTGATGTTGGTCTACGATTACATGCCAAATGGCAGCCTCAGCAGTTGGATCTTTGACAAGCCGAACCAACTGTTAGGGTGGGAGGGACGGCGAAGGGTGCTCGTCCATGTAGCAGAGGGCTTGAATTACCTGCATCATGGGTGGGACCAGGTGGTGCTGCATCGTGACATCAAGTCTAGCAATATATTGCTGGATTCAGAATTGGAAGGTCGGTTAGGGGACTTCGGGCTGGCCAAATTGTACCAACACGGGACCGGGGGGCAAGCGCCAGGGACGACAGGGGTGGTGGGTACGCTTGGGTATATGGCACCGGAGCTGGTGAACATGGGTGCGACGGCATCAAGCGATGTCTATAGTTTTGGGGTGACGGTGCTGGAGGTAGCGTGTGGACGGAGGCCAATTGACTTGCGATGGGATGAGCCTTTGTTGGTTGATTGGGTGCGAAAGCTTTATGCACAAGGAAGGCTTTGCGAGGCGGCAGACGCAAGGATTGCCGGAGAGTACAGAGTGGAGGACATGGAGACAGTGTTGATGTTAGGGCTGGCTTGTTGTAATGCCGACCCTCTGCAGCGACCAATGATGAAGGATGTGTTGGGCATACTGACGAGTGCAGAGGGGTCGGCCCCAGTGCGGAGTTTATTGTCGGAGCTTGCGCATGGTAGTGTTGGTTCCGGCAAGGCGCTGGAGATGGAGATGACATTATCAGGTACAGGTAGTAATGAATCACCTCCACCTCCCAAGTTATGCACGTCAGTTTATATCCCTCTCAGGAACAGCTACGGAGGTTAAGATCCTTTCAGATTTGGCCTTGGATATGTATCAAGAAGCTAAGACATGCTGCGCTCTCTTTTGGCAATGCGAGGAAAGAAACCAATTGGAATTGGAATTGGAATTGGAATGAATACATGCCCACCCAGTACACAGAAATCGATCGAGTTTCCGCCGGCCGGTACCGGTGGGGAGCCGGCTGCTGGCCCTCCCATGAATCTTATACTAATTAATCAATACGGGTATGGGGCTAGTTGAGGTCCGGTCCAATACGGGGTTGGGGCCAGGTCTCAATTCCAAAGAATGGAAATGCATCAACCCGCCACGCCACTGGCTTAAACAAGGAACCGAGGAAGGTGGAGTGCAGATATACAAGGGAAGGGTAGATTCCTTCATTTCTGTGGTAGCCGGCGCGCCGCGTTGTAGTATCTTGTCCAACACTGTCACTATCACTTGTTGCTAATTAATCCATGAAGTGAGGATATAAGGATGTTTTATCTTTTATGGTTTTGTTTTGTTTAATCATTTTATTTTCCTTGGAGATTGACCCGAATGAATCATCAATTATTCCTCTTCTCTTTAATTATTTATTGATTGATTTTGTTGTTGAATTCATTCGTACTTTCAAACTTTGAATTTTTCGGGATGGGTTGCAGTCAACTTTTATTATACCCAGACTAAACTGCATGCAATTTGTTACAGATGACAAAAGGGATTGGGATTCTATTGTTGTCATTTTGTGAATCCGCTGTCGAATTCCACACCAACCAACACCCCGAATCCAACGACTCTAATAAATACGTACAAAATACAAATATGTGGATATAAATGCAGGTTTTACATTTTACAAATTTGTATTTATACTTGTTCCAAACTGAGCCATAGGAATTCATTTGAGCTAACATCGAATCAGCAAGGATGGAGTCCGCCTCCGGACACCGGCCCGGTATTGTAAATTAATAATTATAATTCTACTGGAGGTTTTGTTCCTTTCGATATGAATGGCGACCAGATTGTCACAACAACAAACACAATGAATTCTCTAATGTAAAGGTTGAATATGAAACTAATTTGTATGCCTTCCAAAGTGTCTTATAACTCAATCAAGGCTGGTTTACAACTGATTTGAAACTTGAACAAACAACAATTGAATGTGTTTACCTATTAGCAATTAGTTTGCTAATTCTAATCGACAATTAGAAGAAGGTGAGGGCAATAAAACTGTACATCCTAACCTTTTTTTTTTTTTATTTGGACTTTAAAAAAACTAGGGTAATCCCTATTGAATTGGGAAATGACATTTAACAAGATCCCTAACCAAACTCTTCTATTAATTGACTCCCAACAAATCAACTCCAAGAATCCTTCTCCAACCCAAAGAATAATTAGGGAGAGTAAGCTTGTATGGTGTGGGACCCATAGGAGTCCACTTAGAACTAAAATAGAAACACAAAGTGCTAATACAAGTGGGAGCCACATGGTTGAATTCTCACTTATCTTTAAGTGGGGATGCACTCATGCCTATTGGGCCTATTATTAGGTCCATCATGTTTTATACGTCTAGCTTTGCCACCCTCAGAGCCCAAACCCTTTGGTCTTAAGGCTCAGTTTGGAAAGAGTATAAATGCAAATACCTACAGTGCAAATACATACAAAATATAAGGTTTTACACTCTACATATTTGCATTTGTACTCTTGGAAGGAGTACAAATAGGAATATGTAGAGTGTAAAACCTTATATTTTATATTATTTTGTATGTATTTGCACTGTACATTCTATATTTGTATGCGGACTCCTTCCAAATTCAGCCTAAGTGTGCATCAGGTAAACGGGCTTAATAAACACTTACAGTGCACCCATTTTGCCATTAAAGCCCAACACTGAAACAAGGGACAAGGGAAGGATTTATTCCCTACTTTTAGAACAAGTCAGTGCCATGCTTCTTACTCAAATGAATCCCAGAAAATCTTTAATTTCAACCTAGTTTGAAATATACAATTGGTAGATTTAGCATTCATCCAAGGAAATATATCCAAAATATTCACTCTGACCGACAGAGTGGCAAACCCTATAACAATGATAGCTTTCATAACTAATCGATAACTGCTTCAACATACTCTGGTATTCACCCCAAAGGATACCGCTGGCTAGCATATCAAAAGCAGATATATCAGGATTTTAACATAGTACCATTATCAAGCCTAGGATTGTATGCAATAATTCAAAGACTCCACTAATCATAAAGTCCATGAATTTACTAGAAGTGGTCAAATTCAACATTTCACAAGTACCAGCATTGGTGCTTTGGGTCTAGACCTGGCAATTGAGACAAACTGCTCCTTCACACAAGGCAACATGAATGCATCAAGCTTAACACGATGAGCTATCTAGGTTGATCCATTGATTGGGAACACTTAGATTACATATCAATTATGAGTGTCTCAAATATAAGATTAGAATCTTTAAATGTAGATTAAGGTCATTACTCAGAAACATACCCATTAACACATATAATAAGTTGGTTTTATTTAACAAATCTAGTATATATAACTATTGGACTGTGATGGCATACACTATTCAACGTAAGGAGCTACAACTACAATTATGTTAAAGTTGGAGCTCTATGCAGAAGGATGCTTGGAAACTGAAAGGGCTGCCGATGCAAGGTGGAATGGTGGATTAGAGAAACTGCACATTAGAAACTAGGGCTGATGGTTTGTTGTCATTTGGACTTCAAACATCTTTTGTATAACAAAATATTATGACATCCGTCACAGATTATTAGGAAATAAAAAAAAAAAAAAAGAGTATCCTCTAATCATCTTCCATCTCCAACAATGGATTTAGCAATCGTCACCTCCTTTGTGAATTGTCTTGTTCCATTTCGACCTCATTGGACCACAAATGACATAGGGTATTATTAATTTATCATTGGTTAAATAACCCATAAAAGCCATCAAGTGCATGGTTTTTCCCAAGATGCTATAGAGCTGCAAACGGATCAAATTGAACTCGGTAAGAGGTATATCCATTTCGATTCAAATTTGAATTCGATTTGGATTGTAATAAAAAAATTGATAATATAATATAATATAATTCATAACTAATTGGATCTTATTAGATCGAATCGAGGGTATACCCGAATTTGATCCATCCAATCCAATCCGTATGCATCCCTAGCCAGATCAACCCCAGCATGCAGAGTTTAATACATAAGATTACAATACATGCTGCACTAGACTCTAAGGCTGTGTTTGGTTTGAAGGAAAAAGTATGGAAAGGAAGGGAAATATAGGGAAACCTTTACAAACCTTCTATAGGTTTTCCTATGTTTCCCTTCCTTTCCCTACCTTTTCCTTCAAACCAAACATAGCCTAAAAGTATGCTTTCAAATAAATCTCATGTTTCTTCATACATAGCTAGTATAGTGTGAAAAACAAATAAATATTTACATTAAAAAAAATCTATTAAGTGAATGTATATTCACTCTACATATTTTATCCATTTGCATTTGCTTGACTCAAGTTTTGACCTTTTATCTTTTAATCTAGAAATAGAAATAAGCACCTAGTCTTCTCTGCTTTAATAGACGAATTACTAGCTATGCCCTCAACCACTAATATTTGAATTGCACTCTTGCTCTTGGTTTCTGCCACATCAGGAGGGCTGCTCAAAGAACAGACTACTCAAGTAGAAGATTATGTGTAAAAGTCACTTTACTTGCTAGTTATACACCTTTTTTTTTTTTGATGATTACTTGTTAGCTATACACTTACACTGTCAAGTTCACTGCTATGTTACATTTTAATCCTTGACTGCCTAAATTTGCAAACTAAATTACATAACAAGAAAAATAGATGACTTTACCTCTATGCTATTGATGGAAGTAGATCATTCTTCAGCAGGAACACACACCAAGAAAGTACCAAGAAGGTGAAATTAGAGGGAAAAGTTGAGGGAGTGGAAACTGAAGTAAGGCTTGCTTCTCTTGGCTTCAATCTTGGGACCTTGTGAGTTTTTCTTGCAGAACGATGCCACCGACTCTTTCATTGATTCGGGTCCACAGACTAGAACTCCTATATTTGACCCCCCAGACTGAGTTGGAAATTGAGCAAGTATGTCTGCTTAGATCACACAAAGACATACACATTAAGATAGAACTTCCAGATCCAATGTTAATGACTGTTGAATTAAAAGCAATGAAATTTAGTTTCCTAAACAAGTTACCGAGGAAATCTTAAGAAAATAGTACCTTGAAGGTTGGGCCTCTTTCCAAAATGGATTTCGTGTTCTTCAAGTGTATCCCCTGCTTCAATGGAAATCGCTTCAGTGCTCTTGTGTTGATTCTGGGAGACCTGAAAATTTTCTTTCTTCATTCTTCTCCATCTCATAAAAGCCAGGGCCAAAGTGGTGCAAGATACTGCAATAAAAAATGAGCATATAAGGAGAAGATCTGTAACCCATGATGGGTTCTTCTCAGAGGCTTTCCTTTCATGATGAAGAAAGGCACGGCTTAAGCACCCAAGTAAAATGAGGAAAATAATGGAGGAAAACCCAGCTGCAGAAGCCATCCAAACTAAGCTTTCAAATCCAAACACTGCATGAGTCGAGTAATTTCTCTTGAAGTTGACTGTCTGAACCTGAGAGAGCTCACTCAGAAATTCTCTTAGTGTTGTACTAGATCTTTCTTCTTGAGTTACAAAAAGTTTTAGTTTTATACTGTTTCCTTGCTCAGCCTTCTGGTTCAAAATTACAGATGAGATTGGATTTAACAGACTGATATCTTGAGACTTCTTCACAACATATATCAGTTGTATCTGTGTCAGAAATTTGCTCCTTTTGCTCTTTGGAGAAGAAGCAATTTCCTGAAGAATACTTAGAAATGGGGTTATCCCTATTCCTCCTGCGACAAGAAGTAGGCTGTCATATCTGCAGAAACAGATTGTTTCAGGTTAGGACATAATCAGCCTAATCTATTAGTTTTATCTGAGACAAGGATGAGAACATTACAACAGTTGCTAAATTAAATCCATGCCCGCATTAATTCTGGAATGAAAGCCATGATGAGTCTGTTAAGAGTTTAAATAGAGGTCTTCATGACTCTGATAATTTCTTTCTTTTCTGTACCTGCACGTTTTGTGGTTTTGTTTCCCTTGTTTCAATAAAACTGCACTGCAGCATAGCTTAAGTGTACACTTTTAGTGACCTCAAGAATGAACTTCCACCAATTGGATTTTACAAAATTTCTTACCCACCTCTAAAGCTATGAAACAACTTAAAAGGAATAGAATTTCCTTCTCACCTTAGGAAGTTTGTGGAGGCAGGCCCATAAGGGCCTTCAATTGCAACTTGGAGGCACTTTCCCTGATCAGCACCAGAGTCTAATGCAGCATGTATTGTGTTATAGAGAGTGCTCGTCCACTGGCCTTCACATCTGATTATAATAGATATTGTGTCATCATCCACACAGGAGCTAGAAATTATGCTAAAAGGGTGCCACTGAAACTTTGAGATACTGGGTATCTTCAAAAATATAATACTTGTAGGGGTGTACTTCAATCCTGCAAATAGAAGAGGGCTATTTAAAGAGAACCATCTACTCAATTTTCTTGCCCAATTTAAAAGGATCATTTTTTTTTGGGCAAACATTTTCATTCTTGTTATTAGTAAAAGGTTTCTCAAAGAGCAGTATATATTGAATTTTTTTCTTCTGATTTTCTGTCAAACGTAGCAGACTTACTGGGGTGTTTTGAGAGGATAAGTTCTACAGCTTTGCAAGGGAAGATGCGAGCAGAAATAATACAAGTTTCTGGTCGCGACTGTATGATTCGGAGAAGTTTGTCCAGTGCAAAAAGAAAAACCCCAGAGAACACCATGTAGAAATGCCGGTCTCCAGCATGGAACAAGAAGAATACTAAGAATACAGCATACAAATGATGGGTGTTGTAGAAAAGTTCAAACCGCTTCCTTCGTATTTGTGGAAGAGACGTGATCCAGATCACTAGTCCTGTTGCAAGAGCAATCTCACCGGCGAGGTATATCCGCCCTGTTTTTTGCCACAGCCACATCTGTTCATGAAAAAAAGTGTTAACAAGAACTCTACAAACTCTAAAAGCACATGAAATTGAAAAAATAAAAAAATTAAAATGGGTCATGGATAGAACCTTGATTTACCTCATCCTGAAGACGATGTTTAACACCCCAGATGAACAAACTACTAGAGCCATGTAATGTTGCAAAAAATATCATTGCAGTGCCAAACCAGACATGGTATCGTACCGAAGCTTCAAACTGGAGACCAAATAGCCTAAATAAAGCCATTCCCCTTAGAATGGGAAAAAGTAACAAAGCCAGGCACGCTTCCGCTAGCAAACCAAATCTGATCCCCACCCTCATAAACTTAATCTGCCATCTGAAAAATATAGGGCAAATATCAGTTGTTTTAGAAACTTGATATCCAATGAACAGGGATCTATCAAGATAGCTTGTTTGGGTACTCACACTTCCAACTTCAATGATTTTGGAGGTGTCAGCTTCTTGAAGTCCTTGGAGATATGAACATAGATTGTCCATAACAGAAAGAGTACAAAGAGAGCTGCAATAAGAAGCTCCCAGGTTGATATAATACCCAGAGGGCTATGAACAATAACTGGATTGGAGAGCGTGGTGATTGGGAATCTCTTCTGTCTGTCAACAAGCAGGAACAAGTTTTTTCAGAAATCCAGAAAAAAAAAATGGTCATTTAGTGCAAAAATAATGTAAGAAATCCTTACCTTCTTGTTGGCTCCCTAGCACGCAAATGCATGTAAATGAATCCAATTATGGCCACGGCAATAATGGGAAACGAATAAACCGAGAAATCGAGACCTGCAAAACGCAAATCATCCGTATTTCAAATGCTAATTCCCGCCACGGTTCAAATAAGTAGTAAATACTAATACATTTGCGCCGGCTCTGCTATGAGAGTCCCCCGTTACTTAAACACTTTAAAGAGGTAATTAATGTGTATAAACTAGAGAGGTTTCAGTGAAAATTTCAGAAGAAAAATGGACAAGTTGCGTACCGTTGTATCCAAAAAACGTGTTCCTTGCACTGTCTTCGGCCTTGTGCCATGATTTGGTCCATAGTTCTGTGGGTTTGAGGAGCCAGAGGCAAACCCAACTAGCAAAAATCAAGATCATCAACACCTTGAGAACAGTAAGAAGAATAGACGTCATCGGCATGTCTGTTTTTTTTCTTCTTCTTTTTTTACTTTCTGGCATAAAATTGCAGAGCTGTGAGTTGGAGTCAATTGAGAAGGATTTGATCTCCCTTTTATAGAGTCTGACGGAAGAAACAGAGAGAGAGAGAGAGAGGACACTTCCTTCCCTCTGCAGCGTGCAGGGTACTGAAAGATAGGTCCCCACTCCCCAGTCCCCACCTGTGAAGAGCAGGTTCGATCACTTCTGGAACTGTAGAACCTTAATCGTGGTGGTTCTTCTATATGGGGTCGATGTGATGTTCTCCATTTTCATTAAACCTATCTCAATTTGATTCCACTGTTGGTGATCAGCTAGAGACGAAACAGAGAACTATTTTGGATGGATACGCAAATTGTGGGTGGTGGTGGGGTGGCGGTAGTGGTTTTTTGAAAAGTTGTGATGAATTTTAGATATTTTTGGTGAGTAACATTTTGAAAAGTCGTGGTGAATGTAAGAGAAATGCTGTAAATTCATGGAGAATTTTAGATAATTTCCCTTTCGTATTTGCTCTATATTCCTTGCTAAAAAGCAACAGTCTCAATTAAGGATGTTGGTGACTGGTGAGCTTGCATCTTTTTCATTTATCGTTTGTCAGTTTTAACTTTCAACCGGTCACACACAATTCCAAAGCATGGCATTTGCCCAGTTGGAATTCAGACATTCGGATTGAATCTAAGAAATTAATAGATTCGAATTTGATCTGATTTTGGTAAAAAATAAAAGGAGAATCAAATGGATGGGATATGTCTGACTGGTGCTCCATGTTAATTGTTTCTTTTCACAAATGAAATGGGTGTTTTGTCTTTCACAAATAAAACTAGTGGTGTGCTCTTTTTATAACGAAATGTGCCTCCAATCACAACCCTCCGTGGAATTGGGTAAGGGAAAGGGGATGGGCTACCCCCTGTTGTGTAGCCCCATGAAGCAAAATAAAAAGTTCGGTTGTATTGATACCATAATACCATGATATAAAATATAATATATAAAATAAAGGCTGCTGCTTTCTTCTATCCACCTGATACTGATAGAAAGTCTGATACGCAAGCGTAATCACAATTGAATTCACAACCAAACCTTAAATATGTCATGTTCTAAGCTTAAATATAATATGATTTGGTCATTGGCTCTCGCTTGGTCCTCTTCTTCTAGTCTGGCGTCTGCCGCCCAGGCCGGCTGATGGAAAGAAATACATTTACATGATACAGCAGTCAAATATGGGTTTGGGGCGAGTTAAAATCAGCCCTCATAATGTCCCACAGCATATCTCTGCCATGTATTAGAAATATCTCTCGATTATAATATTCATAATGATGATATTAATATCGGGAAATGTTCCCAATACACGGCAGGGATGTACTGTAAAACATTGTGGGGGCAGTTTTGTAGGGGGCTGATTTAAGGCCAGCCGGGGAATGGGGAGTGCATCCGGACTTGGGCGGCCATGGAATCATCCTTCCTTATAATTATGACTTATGTTGTGACAATGACAACAAAAGGAGGATGAGGATCCATATCTATCTTTAGGCGAACCAAATCATTCCATCGATCGGTGGTTGTGTTTGTTTGGCTCCAACCCACTAGCAAATCTGATCGAGAATCACAAACTCAATCTTGATTCTTCAGAGTTCAAGTTCAGATGATTACTACTGTGACTACATCTAATTAAAGCGACGGTGGGCATACACCACTACTACTAGTCATTGTATAGAAAATTAAAAAACAGTAGGGTACAGATGAGATAGGCACACTCACTAGAAGATTATGTGTGGATGATAATCTCCTATCTGTCAAGGTAATGCCCGTCATTCATCAAAGGCATTATTCTCCAGTTAAAACATTCGTTAATGACTACGTACAGTAATGATCTTATTAATTATTTATAAATACTACTTGCTCATTTTATCATCACAGCCCACTTTACTAATTAATTTCCTCATATTAAACCCTACCACAGCACTTGTGCACTGCATTCCACATTCCACATTCCACACTTACAGGGCTGGCTCTTTGAATCCTTACTCACCACTTACGGATCGGATATACGGGGCCGCGCGCTAATTATCAAGTCAAGACACAAGGGATGTAGGTGATCTATACAGACAGGTCAAGTGTCAAAAAATTTTTCAAGTGCTTATCGAAATCGAAGGTGTTTATAACTTGGTGCCTACCTCATCCGAACCCCTTTCAGAGAACACAAATCCAAAACAAACGCAGCTAACAAAACCCAGTTTTGTCAAAGATCGATGAATGATTAATTTATCAAGGACAGCACAATACACATCCATCCTTCATTACTCCAATAAAAATTCTAGTAGTACTCCCAGAAATTTTACTCTGGGAGTACCGGTTTTTTATTCCCTTTTGGGGACCAATCGTAGATTGACCTGGTGAATTCGTGTTTATAACCTCCTCACTGAACCATTCTTGCGTATATATTAATTGGTAGCAATATCTTCAGTGCTGAGTAGGAAAAAGGATCATTATATATAAAAGGTGGTGATTCCATGACTTGACATATATTTTGCATATAAGGATCACATCTTAAATTTTAACTTCCGCTATGTAATTAGCTTGAGCTATTATAACCCATCTACGCTTGCTTTTGCTTCTTCTTACTGCATTTATTTGAGTGGAGATTCCATCAAAACTCAAAAGCACCAAAGAAAAAAAGAATAAAGTTCAAAAAGCGCAAGTTATAATGTAGAACTTTTAATTCAATCATTGAATGGGTGTTGATGAAAAACAACCTATTATAGATATATATATATATATATATATATATATAAAAGCATTTTTTGAAATAAACCAGATAATTAATGTTGTGTTTGATACCACTGGTCGAGTTTCAACCTGCAACGTTTTGAGTTTTGAGATGAAACACCGGTTATATACACCACTCATTGTGCTTGAATCTTGTTTGATGAAAATGTAGTCAGAGTGTTGAAAGTCTACTACTTCCCAGAGCACGTAGAAACATCAAATTATGCTTCTTGAAGCGCTAGGATGGATTTTCCTGTGAATTGTTGTTTAAATGCATGAGCTGGATCAATGATGAAGGAAGGGTGGATCCCGATTGTCTTGAAAGCTAGCGTACGGGTATGAGGTGAGAGTGGATGCCAACACACACACCACTGGAGACTGGACACTGGACACTGGACCAAAGGTGGATTAGCAAAAGTCATCCATCTTAGATTGCAGCCTTTTGCTTTTCTCAAAAGACTGAGACATCTCAGAGTTGGTCCAATATGAATATATTTACGGGAGAATGATGGTTCAGCACAGATTTAGAATTATTAGATTCAAAGTACTATGCATTAGTGTATATAATGGGGGTATTTGATATTTTGAATTTTTACAAGTCTAAAGTAGAATTCAGAAATCTATAATGGGTCTGTCAGTACTTTTCCATATATTTATTAAACAATATTATAATTTCAAAAGAGGTGTTGCATCAAATCAAATGAGGATGCAGGAAGAACAACAGGAATGGAACTAGACATATCAAAAGCATCAGATACGATGGGATAGCATTTTCTGAATTCTAATGAAAAGCATGGAGTTAGGACGTGATGCAATCTAATATACTCATACGCCAGTATATCTCCTTAATTACCAACTTTTTCTATACTTCAAATAGTAGTCAGTCACTAAAAGCGGACGACAAGGTGGCCCTTTTTCACCATACTTACGACCATTTTTAATAAGCATTCTAAACAAAAAGAAGAAGAGAGTGAAAATACAAGCATAAAATTGACAAAAAGAAAAATTACAATATACTAACTCATGCTTTCTCATTAAGGCCATTTTGGTTTAATTCTCATTTTTGTTCATTCTTTTCAATAATAAAATTCTAGAATATATAATAATGAGTARAAATGAATAGAATGCTATGAACCAAATGCTTTTTTCAAAAAAAAAAATTCTTTTGATGGCAAGAATGAGAATAAATTTTTAACTTGTTTGGTTATAAATGTCATTTTCATTTTAATGGAACCAAGTAGCACTTATTTAAAACTAATTAAAAAGAAATTAGTTTGTTGAATTGAGTGGGCAATTGTGCAAATGAAGGCAATCGTGCATCATATTGTTTATTTTCATTTTTCTAAGAAATTGTATGTCGGAGAGATCATAAACCGCCAGCCTAGGTTTCAAAAACCATTGGCATAGATTTTTACCAGCTGATGGCCAACGGTTAATATCATATGTTTTCACAATAGATTGTCGCCCATCCACCCGTTAAACTATGTCAGCAACACCAACATAGAGTCTTTTTTAAGAATGAAAATGAGCAATATGAGGCACTATTATATTTTATTATGCAAGTTAATTCAATTTTTATGCCATGAATTCATTTTTCATTTTAAAACGAATGAAGTCCATGGTAAGAATTTTGTGACCAAACACTCTCATGTGATTTATTCTTGTTCATTCTGCCTAGAATGAGGCTTACAACAGCGAACCAAACATGGCCTAAGCCGCTAGAAAATCTAAAAGCCCTAGTTTTGACGATCTCTTAGGGTGAAAGATTAATTACTACAAATCAGGAATCATATATACTAAGAGCATGTGTACCCAAAATTCACTAAATATTCATGAAGACAACTAACAACAAATACTTGAGAGAAAGCAAAGAAAGCAATGAATTCTGACAGATAAAGGAAAGACGAGATGAGAATAGAAGGATGGTGTGCTAAAGTGGTCTCTTAAGAGGGAGAACTAGGGCTATCAATGAGTCGAGTTTGGATCGAGCCAAGTAGAACCGGAACTGACCCAATAATAATTGGGACAATATATCAAGAACCAGAACCAATCCATCGGTTTTTGTTCCTAAAACTAGGGCTGACCCAATTGGTTTGGGTCTGTCAGGTCAGACCCGACCCATTGGCAATTGCACAAGCTTTGCTTGCATACATCATGCAAGTAAACTTACTGCCTAAAAAGTCATAAATAAATGAGCTTAAGAAAATACAACAAAAGTTCCTATGGGAGAGCACAAAAGATAAAAGGAGTCAATAATATCAGCAAGAGCAAAATGTGCAATTCCAAAAATGAATGTGGGGTGGACCTAAGAAGAATCCATGAGATGAAATAGTGCATTATTTTCTAAATAGATACAAAGGATCCTAAGGCTCTATTAAGAGTGCAAATGTTTTTTAGTACATGTATGCACTGGTTCAAGTTTGCTAGTGTTTGGTAACTGGTAAGAATGCATTTATGTATTGAAAGTGACAAATTTCGCAAATTTCAAGGCATACTTGCATCCAAAAAATGGATGCAAACTTTACACTCAAAGTTGGTCACTACAAAAAGGTAGGTTTCAATCTAGGAATTCGTATTTGCATTTGCACAGACCATAATGCACTCTACACATTTGTATTTTCACTCTATTTTCACTCTTCCCAAATGGAGCCTAAAAGAAACATGTGGACATGCATAATCAAAGGAAAGTACTATGATGAAGAAAAGTTTCTTAGGTGTAAACAAACAAATTTTCAACCGCCCTGGTGGAGAAATCTATATATATACATACAACTATTAAAAGTGTGAATGAGAGTATTGAATTTTTGTTTAACTAAAATATCCCAATTTTTAAATTTGGTTGCTCTCTAAATGTAAGGACAAAAAATATAATTTTAATAACCCTTTTTTCCTATTCAAGTCCCTCCCATTAAGTCTTATATTTAAGGTATTAACTCTTATTAACATTTATTGAACCCTATTCTTGACTAGAATACCCCCTATTTTTTAACATGATCCCTCTATAATTGTTAGGGCACAAAATGTAGTTTGAACTATTATATTTCTTATCATTCAATTCCCTTTCATTGACTCTAATATTTAGGATATTAGCTCATTATTTCATTGAATCCTATATGAATTAACCATATTAAAGAAAATAAATGTGATACAGAATAATTTTTTTTATCGATAATAAAAATTATATACAAATTTAAAACCGATAATGGAGTTGTTTTCCTATTTGGTGGTGAGTCAACAATTCAACCTTTTGGGGACAAATGTATAAACCCCTTGATAGGCCCACCAATGATACCTAAAACTTTGCAGCCTAATCCAACATTAGACCGGATTTTGATTTTGCAATCAATCTAAATCAGATTAATAATCGAACTGGATTTGGATTTGACTCAATTCGGTCTCATTAAAATCTAAACTTGATTATATTATAATATTTATTAATTTTAATATATAAAAAATATGTAATGATATTTAATAATTTAAAAATTATATTTTTGTATATTATATTTTATATGAATGTATATATATATAAAATAAACTCTGTATGTTATATTTACATTAATTTATCATACATAAAAGTTAAAAAGTAATTAACTTTTATTTTCTATATTTTAAAAATTAAAGCGAAGTCAGATTAAACCCAAATCCAATCCATTTATAGCCTTAACCCTTGATGCCATAATTAGATAATAATAATAATAATAATAATAATAATAATAATAATAATAATAATAATAATAATAATAATAATAAYAATAACAATAACAAYAACAACAACAACAATAATAATAATAATAATAATAATTAAAAAAGATGAGAACACACAATAGTATAAAAATATAAAAAAAAAATGTAGAAAATATTTGGGCACATCTCTAATATTGTATATCCATCATATTCAACAAAAGTAAGGCCCTGTTTGGTTCATGGGAATAGGGGTTTGGAATCAGAATCAGAATGGGCTATTCCAATTCCAACTATTTGGTTGGGCGGAATTAGAATCTCATTCCCATTCCTACTAGAATGGCATTCCCCCATTTGAGGGAATGGCCATTCCCTGCCCCTCCCTTGGGAATGAAATCCCATTCTTGCTGACTCCCATTTACATTTCCATTCTTGTTTGAATCAAACAGACGATGGGAATGGACCATTTCAATTCCAATTCTAATTGTGAACCTAACGGACCCTAAGTAGTGACAAATAAGAATAATTTTTATAGATGTAGAAATATAAAAATTGTAAAAAAATTCTGCAACATATTATTTACAGGTAAACTATGGATCGAACAAGGAGTGTCCAATGGAACGAACAGGGTTACAGATGTATATATCGACCACATCAGGGAGTATATGAGATCCAGGAATGTTATAATGTACATTAATGGGCCACCGACAAGTGGAACTGGGATCTGCTCCTCACAGAGCGCACTTTACACCCGACTTCACAGCCACATCCCACTGTATGTTAAGAACATCAACATCCCACCGTATATTAAGAACATCAATACATGATGAAATATGCCTATGAGGTTAGTGTGAGGAGCGCTGTGTGAGGAACATATACAAGTGAACCCTAAAGCAATGCTCATTGAAATAGTGCCAGGATTGGTGGGGTATCAATTTATCATGTGTCCAGGCTCTCTCAAATTGGACCGGTTTATTAATAGGAAGTGGACCTGACTGACACCCTGAATCCATTTCTAGTGAAGCCGACATTGAGGACATTTAAGTAGCTCCATCAGTAGGTTGTGTACTTGTGTACCATATCCTAATCCTATTTCTATTTATGAATAAACTTATTATTTGGTAAGATGTTTGTGGGAATTCATTCAACAAGTATCAACGCCAGTTTTATTGAACCTAGAAGGCTAGAACTTCTTAATCCGACGGAATTCCAACTTGAAGGTAGTATAAATTTCGAAAATAAGCCCAATACAAATCTAGAAATCTCAAACAGTTAGTATGGGCTGGGCCTCAGCCCAAGATAAGATTCTCTGAGTCTTACTCTTACCCCCACAGGAGGTCGGGGTAGCACTACTTTGTCCATAGTGACAGACAGAGACCTGGGGCCTGGGCCTGGGCCTGGTCTGGGCAGCCTATGTGCAGTAGTTGGGTCGCAAAGGAATGGAGGCAAGCCATGTCTTGGCCATTGCCACCGGCCACAAATGGCATATAGGCACCTACCAGGCTACCACAGATCTAACCTAACCAAAACACCCAACAAGTAAACTAGTGCTTACTCTTCACATTGAGTTCTGAATTCTGATGATGATGATGATAGTTGATAGATTTACAGATTCATTAAGAACGTCTGAAAGGAACGTTTCTCATTCTGACTTGTTTCCCTACCTAATTATCAATACGAGGAACGAATTAAGGAAAAAACAGGCCATTTTTTATTAAGCTGAAGCAAGGTTCAAAATATCGATATAGATCGATACGGTGGATTAGACTATTGGTCTTTATTGTTGCTTGCCCTTTTATTTTATTTTATTATTTTTTTTGTTTGAAATTTGTTCAGGCATGGTCGGTTTAAGGCCTGTCTATCCCCTCCCCTGAAATAGGTAGGATCCCAAAAACATTTAGTGAAGGAGCGTCTCAGAGGGGCCCTGAAATGATACGTATCGGTCAATACGCCTCGATACTTGACAAAATTTTAATCCTTGAACTGAAGTCTGAGAAAGCTTCAAAGCTAACCTTTTTTCCTTTTTTTTATTTGGCCTTCCCGTAATCCCGTGTATGGTGGACCAATCACAGTTGTTGAAATTCCCAGTCATGGTTTTAAGGTGAAATTTTGCAAAGTCTTTGGTTTCAGACCATGGTTTTCAAAACCAGACTGGACCGGATGGTGGGATTGGAGAAATCAGGAATCCATCAGGTGACCGGTTTTGTTTTACCCCAAAATCATTATTTTGTCAAAAACCATTGATTTGGTCAACAAACTGTTGACCCGAGTGGTCAAACTATTCAAACCGTTCAACGATTTTGCCCATTTTTTATTTTTTTGTCAGAATAGACCATCCGTTTAATTTGAACAATCAGACCATTCAACCTGAGAAACGGACATTTGACCGGTTCGTTGTCCGATTCTGTTTTAAAAACCTTATTTCGGAAAGTCAAGCAATCACATACAATAGTCAAGCAATCACATACAATAAGTGCTCAAAAAAAAAAAAAAAAGAGGGAAGTGACATAAATATAAGTATCAAGTTTTCACCCAAAATTCAGAAATTTGAGAAAATTCTATCAGGATCCAAGGGTCTGAATTCTGAAATGGGCGAAATTTCCGAAATTCAAATCCCTGGCGTGGTCCTGAATGTTGATTTTTAACCCTGCTCTTTATGGTATTGGCCCTAATTAATCGAAACCATGACCCGTCGGCTGCCTCTTTTCCTCCTATTCCAATTTCCAAAATTCTTGATTTGTTGATTGCTGCCTTGCACTGGAAAGCTCGTGAATGCCCGCAAGATCAAGGGCTAAAACATACAAGCAGTCGCGCATCTCTGTCTACTGTCTACTTTCTGCCTTCTGTTCTACTTCCAAACCTCAACCAACCAACCAACCAACCAAAAGCTAAAAATAGTGAGAAAAAAAAATCAAGAAAATCCTTGTTTGGTTAGAGATTCTGTCTTTGTCGATGGGTGGGTTGGTGGTGTCATACCGGAGACACATAGAAACTCAAAATAGTAGTCACTGGATTGGAATAATCGTGGTCATCACTGGATAAGAGACATCTTGGCAATTGATCTCCCACTTGGGCAACCATCCACGCAAAGTAGAGGTAGAGGCGTAGAGCCATAAGCCCCATTAACTGGTGGGGCCGCTTTACGGTCTTTATTTCGTTCCAGAGGTCTTCAGCACCACCCTATAACTTTCAAAAGAAAAACGGAAAAAGAAAAATTATGCAAAAATATCAGAGACCATGAAGACTGGATATAGTTGTGAGTTTCATGCGATGCGACCCTTTCTTTGTTTTTCGTAAGAGAGAATTTTGTCTCAGCAGACTTGTGGATGGAAATGCTCGGAAGAAACACACCCACCACTCATTTCAATCAACCAAATCAAGCACCCAAATCCACATTTCTTTCTTTCTTCACACAAATATTCCTAAAAAAATAATGCAAACTTCTTCCCTTCTTCCCCTCCAGATTCCATGGCGAAATTTTCATCTCAGTACCAGCACTAGTATATTCTCTTCTTCTTCTTCTACTTCTTCCTCGCCTCCTCACATCTTCTCTCCCTTCCTTGTTTAAGACTTAAGACATGACTACTTCTTACTGCTTCTCTTCCACGAGAAACGGTTTAGCAGGAAAGGCTCTACTTCTCCAGAATTGTCATCTCTACCTCCGCAGACACCGCTCTTCTTCCCTCTGTCCTCATGAGATCAACCACCTAAGGAGAGACTGTCTACTCCTAAACCCCCATCCACTACCTAAATCCTCCCTCCCCACACTGAGATTAAAAGGTTCGAAATCGATCCTCCCGTTGGCGACCTTATCATCTTTTGCCGAGGCTGAAGGAGGACGAGAGGCATCCGAGGCTAACCAACAGCACGAGGATGCAGGAGCAGAGGAGTTACCGGAAATGGCAAAGGCCTTCAACATCTCTTCCAGCACGGCTTCAGCGATCTCCATCTGCATAGCCTTCGCAGCCCTCGGCCTTCCGTTTTTTATGAAGTCGTTGGGGCAAGGGTTGGCGCTCAAGACAAAGTTGCTTTCCTATGTGACCCTGTTGCTGGGATTTTACATGGCTTGGAATATCGGAGCTAACGATGTGGCCAATGCAATGGGGACTTCTGTAGGTTCGGGTGCTCTCACCCTTCGCCAAGCGGTGCTGACTGCGGCTGTGCTAGAATTTTCAGGGGCGCTTTTGATGGGAACCCACGTCACCAGCACTATGCAGAAGGGGATTCTTGTTGCTAATGTCTTTCAAGGAAAGGATTCCTTGCTCTTCGCTGGATTGCTTTCTTCTCTGGCTGCTGCCGGTACCTGGTTGCAGGTTGGTGCATTTGCATTTACTCAATTCCAGTTACAGAGTTTCTACCCTCCTTTTCCCCTTTCGCAAACCTTTTTCGTTTCCGTAGATTTGAAGCTTGAGACTGAGCATTCATATCCCGTGACATTGAGAAAATGGGTGGTTTTGTTCTTGGTCTTGGTGATCCTTTCCGCACACCCATTACTGATTTACTTCACTCATTCCGTTAGTTCCGTAATTTAATTGAACAGGACACTACAGGTACGAGTGTCCACTGTAAGGAGATTTTAGTTTAGGCTGGGAAATGTATTCTATCTATCAGCTTTCTTAGAATTGGCTCCCATGATGTGATGCTATCTATTGAATTTTCAAATGAGAGAAAAAGACAAAAAGAGAATGAGATTCCAATTCTGTCCAATCAAACAGTTAAAATCAAAATAGCCCATTCCAATTCCAATTCTAGACCTCTATTCCGAGAGTCTGTTTAATCCATACGGACACGCGTACAGGATACACAAATGCCCCAACTTCCTTGCTCTTAAAGTATTAACCGAGAACCCTCAACCCTCAACCCTCCTACCTAAAGTCCAAGTATAAAGGCCCTTAAACATATTTGCCTAGGCTTTATGGTCATTCCAAATGATTTATCTGTTCATCCGAAACTAGCTCCTGATTACAAGGGGAACTAGAAAATATAATGCACACACTTACCTCGCTCTATTTGATCATCGTAAATACCAGTTATTTGATAAATCTCATTCTATTTTTCTCTCATCTGACCAAGCAAACTATAGAAATCGCTAGTACTGATACAAGACAATATTGATCCTTTTATGCAAATATTGTCAAGTGGCAGAGCTACAAGTCATGCAATATGCTTGTCAATATTTCAAATACCACATGTTGGAGGCCCTTCGAAATCTCATTGTAGGTATATTAAACTGTTCAAAGGCTCTCATTCCCGGCCGTCCAAAAGAATGAGCTTATTTTAATTTAGTAATGGATAAAAAATAGTTGACATTTACAAATGGAACAGATGGACAATAGTTTCATAAGAAATTGCTAAAACTTGTAATCAATCACCAAAGTTAGCTGAGGCAATCCTTTAGAATTAGAAAATTTTCACTGAAATGTTCAATCTCATCTTCGTTCAAACCTTCATAAAAATGGAGAGTTAGAGATGTTTGATGTCTATTTTGTTATCCTACAAAGTTGTCTGTGTGGCATTTGCTCGCTGGTTTCCTAAGTAATATAGCATTGACAATTGTAATTTTGTTGTGCAGGTTGCATCCTATTATGGTTGGCCTGTCTCCACTACACACTGTATAGTAGGAGCCATGGTTGGATTTGGTCTAGTTTATGGAGGAGTTGGTGCTGTCTTCTGGAGCTCACTGGCAAGGGTGACTTCATCATGGGTCATCTCACCCATCATGGGAGCAGTAGTTTCATTTATTGTCTACAAATGTATCCGCAGGGTATGATATAGTAAAACCACAAAAGCATACACCATAATATACCAAGCACCTTCTGAAGGAATTAAAAGCACTAACTCTTGCTATTTTTCTTTCTAGTTTGTGTATAGTGCTACAAATCCAGGGCAGGCTGCTGCTGCAGCTGCACCAGTTGCTGTCTTTCTGGGTGTAACTGGCATTTCCTTCGCTGCCTTCCCTCTTAGCAAGAGTCTCCCTCTAGCTCTGTTGCAGGCATTAGCATTTGGAACTGCAGGCGCATTCATGGTCAGTAGTGTTATCCACAAAGAGCTTGGTCACCTCCTCCTCAAGTCCAAATCGTCAGAAGAAGAGACAAAAGAGGATACTTCCCTAAACAAAAATTTAGGATTCCTATCTGACATTGCCGGTCCCAAAGGGACCCAGCTGGAAATTGTCTATGGTGTCTTTGGCTACATGCAGGTTTTGTCAGCCTGCTTCATGTCATTTGCCCATGGTGGCAATGATGTCTCTAATGCAATAGGCCCTTTGGCTGCTGCGTTATCAATTCTCCAAGGAGGTGCTAGTGGAGCTGAGATTATTATCCCAAATGATGTCCTTGCCTGGGGAGGATTTGGGATTGTTGCAGGACTAATGATGTGGGGCTATAGGGTAATAGCAACAATTGGGAAGAAAATTACAGAGCTAACACCAACAAGGGGATTTGCAGCTGAGTTTGCAGCAGCTTCAGTAGTTCTATTTGCATCGAAGTTGGGATTACCCATATCTGCAACCCACACTCTTGTGGGAGCAGTCATGGGTGTAGGATTTGCAAGGGGACTTAATAGTGTAAGAGCAGAAACTGTGAGGGAGATCGTTGCTTCTTGGGCTGTCACAATTCCAGTTGGTGCATTCTTTGCTGTTTTCTATACATGGATCCTGACAAGGCTCCTAGCATATGTACCTTGAGGCATTTTATCAAGAGGTTGAAAGAAAAAATATTTCCAGGCATATGATTGTGGAAAGATTTCCTTCCCTGTCCTTTCCCTTTTTTGATTGTTGCAAGGAATGTTAAAGTTATTGACCCACATGACTTCCTGTAAGAGAATGGGTACCTGAAATTTAAAAAGTAATATTTTTACCAATGCAATGCATGTTGCAGTGAAGGTTCCAAGTGAACCTCTGTTTTGGATTTCCAATAAAAGATTATGGTTTCTATTTGATTCCTCTTAAAATTTCTTAGTGCTAGGAACTGTCTCTACTACACTCTCTAAGTCCAGGAAGCAGGTCTCGTGCAGCAGATTGTTTTAAAGCATTACTTACCTTATCCCCTTCAATATCCTCTGATAAATGTCACTGATCATGATGAAGTGCTCTTGGATAAGTACCTATAACAAACAGGAAAAGAAGGTATAATCTTGGTGACATAGATGGTGGATCAGTCAATAGCCAGAACCAAAGTTCATTTGGAAGCTACATTCAGAAAACAATAAAGAAAAAAAAACCTAGCATTTTTACCATCAGTGACTTCTTTCACTGTTTTAAAGTCTACAACTTTCCAATGTAGGAGAAGTCTGTAGTAACTGGAATGGTAAGAATTAGGTGTCTTCTGGGATGATGCTTCTAGAATACACAGGTCTTCCATGTTAGGTTTCATCTTAGCTGAAAATGTAGGAAGCATGACTTAGATGATTTTTATTCAAACTTCTGCCTATCAAAGGTCAAAAAGTCAATTGTTACCAACTTATAGAATGATGCAGGCTCGGGAGGTGAATTCTATGTGAACTTTCGGGAAGAAGCTAAAACATGGGAAAATTTCCTACCAAAATCAGTTAAAATAATTAAGGTACAAATGTAGTTTTGAAGTGTAGAAACTGGGCCTAAAAAAGACAAGGCAATTAATACAAGATTAATGAAGTTGGTCCAAATGCAACAATAGCGGGTCAAGAGGATAACAATGCAGAAACAGTAGACAGATTTATGCAAAAGAATGGACCTGAGCAACTATACTCTTGCAACAGACTGGTACTGGTTTGGATAAGGTGCCAAAAAGAAAACCATATTTCCTGGACCAATATGTGATGTTCCTATCTAGAAACTATGCCAATTTATGTGAAATGCATATCATGATGGAAAAAACAAAAACCATTATGTATTATCAAAATTATGTCAACCTATGCATCTGAAATGGAAAATGACAGAGATATAGTAAAATTGAACATACCATGCTTTACCGCTCTGATTAGTTAAAGAATTATGCCAATGTTGCAGCCATATCCAGGAAAAAGTATTTACTTGGATGAATGAACAACATAAATCAATTCTAAGTACAAGTAAAAATATATCTATCCATTAGTATATCACCTGCCAGTTTCTTTTGTGGTGGCAAGTACAAATTCAACATATAAATTTTTCAATGCAATCATTGCTGTCATCGGTAAAGGACCCATAATTGCTCCCTGCACAAATAACACATTTCCAATCCTATCAGTGACAAAACGATAATAGTTTAAACTACCGGATAGTGTCTAGAAGATGGAGAGTATATGGTAAATGGTATTAAGTCAGAGACTGCATAAATAAACTTCAGCATTTAAACGTGTACTTGCCAGTTATAAAGGGCATGTTGTAGAACCTCCTAATTCAAGACATAAAAACTCGTCGGAGCTTACCCAGTCAGAGTGCAAGAAATATAACTAATTAAGAAGAACTAACCTCCAAAACAGATGGAAACAACGCAATGCCACCTAGAATGCTAAGCCCAGTCAAGTAGGGGCTCTACCCAGGTATCTCATCTTGGATGGCAGCCGTGCCATATTCCATAAGTATAAGATGTATTAATGTGAGCAAAACAGCTTCTATGTATCTTGCTTCTATAGCTAACTGTGCTGCAGCCAGGATTGACGAAAACCAAACTGGAGTTATGGGCAAGATAGCACTCATCAGTGCGAGAAATGTGGACACGTAGAGGAAATGAATGCGATAGAATCGAAACAACAGATAGGTGAGACACCCTTGGAACAATGTAACTTTAGCAGTGGCCAATAGTACGCACGCTGCTAACAGCACGATCAAGAACTTGAGCACATGGAACTCGAGTGGATTTTGAAACAGGGAGCATCCCTAAAACATGATCCATCACACCTCCTGACTCCGAAGTGATGAGATAATATAAAAGCCAGAAGAAAACCATCAGCTGGGAGATAAAATTCAATAAACCTGCAGCTCCCGAAACAATAGAAACTGCCACGGTGAACAACAGATTGGCACCCCCCGCCAAGACCGTGGTACTACTCGCCAGTACTCGCTTTGGGATATACAAACTCTGAAGAGCAAAACTTTTAATCTTCTCCGATAAGTGCTCCCTTGCAATCACAGACTTCATTTCCCTGAACATACCATTTATATCTCCATAAATCAAGTTCCATTCTCTGGTCCTCAACCGCACATGAATGTAATACAGCTTATCTGATAAAGACCATTGCCGCACTTGTTCGAGAGCCGTGGAAGTAAACGTAGTGCGCAGTGGTTTGATCAAATGATTCCTCACCCCTTCCAACATTTCGCTGCAACACTGCCTCGTAGAACTTGGACGTGTAACTATCGATCAACTCCGGCACTCGATTCTCATCTACCCAGTGCTTAAGTCCGGTCCTCTCGGCGTAATTGTTCTCCTCCAAATGCGTTTTCAATGAAATAACTGCCTCTTTCCCCTCGATCACCATCTTATAAGATAATAAAACGAATCCAGTCACGGATCCGACAATCATAAACGTAACCAGTCCAATGCCAACAGCGATCCTCAACCGATTAAGCATAAGGGAAGTTAGGTATCGGCTGAATTTGGTCCACAGGGAGAGTTTAGGGACAATTTGTTCTCTGCTGTGACGGACCGAGGAGATAGCGGAGAGAGTCGAAGCGACGCCAGGAGTGGAGGGGGTGGCAGAACCGGTAACGTAAGCGAAGAGAGAAGGGATAGCAAAGAGGGGAATGGAGACGATACCAATACACTCATAGACGAGAACGAAGAAGCCGAAGGATACGAGCCACTGCATGAGTTTAGAGAATCCAACCTTCTCATTGGGATTGACAGGAGGACGGTTACGGAGGAAGCGGAGAACGGCGACATGGGAGTCAACGAGGGAGCCGGTGGTGGCACGAAGGATAGCTACGGGGATGGCGAGGAGAGTTTCGAAGAGGCCGAGATGCAGAGAGTGAGACCAGAAAGAAACCAGAGCGGATTGGAGCTCGCGCAAGGGCATAGAACAGAGAATGGCCCATTGGATGGGACGCCAGTATTCCTGGAGAAGCTTGATTAGACCGTACAAGATGGCTATGAAGAAGGCCAGGCCTGCGTGGGCCATGGCTGTGTAGATTGCTGAACATACCTGAGGATCGCTCCATAAGGATGACGATGTTTCTCCTTTCTCTAGCTCTTGCTCTTGCTCTTCTTCACTTCTTTTCTCTTGCTTGCGACGCCGGCATCGCCGTCTCTGTTTCTCCCTTTGGTTTGTTGAGATTTCGGCTTCTGACATTTTCCTCTGGGTGACCCTCCTTTCGGGTCCCCTGTATTACAATATACAAGCTCAGAAGAGGAGCCTGCCTATTCCTTTAATCTTTAGATGATGGCATGGCATCAAAACAAGTCAAGATCAACTAACGACTGAAGATCCGATCCTCTTTCTTTACTCTCTGCATTCTCAAGACAAAAAATAGCTGCCACGTCAGAAAAAAAAACACATTATTATTTCTGACGTGGATTTTTAGTTTTACGAACCAATGTTTCCATGGGTTGTGTTTGGTTTGAAAGAAAAGGTAGGGAAAGGCAAAGAAACATATACAAGGTTTATAAAAAATTCCGTACATTTTTTTCCTTTCCCTACCTTTTCCTTCAAATCAAACATAGCCCAGGGCTAATGGGTATGATCTGCCATTATTTTGGCCATGTGGAGGAATGATGTGATGTGGCAGATCAGAACTATCAACTAGGTGGTCTGGATGAAATTGGATTAGATACCTATTTAATTGTTCCAGTCAATCCTACATCCTACCTTACCTTGTATTTGTCTTTTGCCCTAAACCTAATGACATTGGCCTTAAAAACTTGCATATTGTTAATGTAAAACTACCATGCGCTTTTTGGTTCAAATTTAATCCATTAATAGAAATGATTAGATAAATGAGTAATGACCATTCGGACCCAAATCAATTTGCCACATAAAAAGACCCTTGATTGTTCAGCCTATAGGAACTATTTGACGATGATTCAAGTGGCTGAAACAAATGTTTTATTGCTTTTTTATTTTAGTAAAATAATAAAACATTCAAGGGTATACTAATTTATCAAATTTCAGTTTCAACCTTCATGTTTAGAACTAATGCCGTTTCCTTGGGGGGGGGGGGTGTTTTCTTTTGAGAAAACGGTGCTGTATTGGAATGTATTTTTCCAGAAAATGCTTTTTCTTTTTTTCTGTTTAGGACCATTATTGTTGCTCCCACATACGCATTCTTTTATACTGTTGTTGCAATTAACAGTTTAAAAATGAAAAAACACCAAAACATGCCTTTTCTAATTTCTAAGGTATAGTTCAAGAAAATGTTTTTTTTTTTTTTTTGAAAATACATAATCAAACATTAGACGTGGTCCGAAAAAAATGGATGGTGCTGCTTTTCAAGAAAATGACACCAGTTCTAAACACCTACTAAAAGAACTCATAACCTCCTTAAAATCTTAAAATCTTATTTATTAAAAGACCAAATAATAAAGTTTCCAGTTCAATCACTTCAGCTGTTATCAAATAAGTTTATCCATTTTACAAACTCCTCTTACCCCTTTTTTTGGTAGAAATTCCTCTCCCTACCTTCAACAAAAAGAAAAATAGCCTAAAAAGATCTTGCCACATTAGCAAAATAATCGCTTTTGTCATTGAAAAGCAGTAAATTACACGGACCTTCCTGTACTATGGCCTATGGGGTCAATTACAGATACCCCTGCACTTTTTTTTGTGACAAAAGACCCCTTGGATTTTTACATTTTTGACAAATGTTCCTTGTTTATTAAGTATATATTTGGCATCAATGTTGTAGATACGGCACCGTTTTCTTAGAAAACTGTGTCTTTTTTGTTTGAAAACATTGTTGCCAAGTAAGATGTTTCTTGGAGTAATAGCAGCATTTTCTATTTGGTACCAATGCGCAAGAAAACGTTTTCAGCACTAATACCTATTATCCAGTGCCACATCATGTCTTTGTCACTGCCACCTCATGTTCCTGTTGACAGCAACGAGCTGTAACTCCAAGAAATGCCAAATTCGGCATTGCTCTAAACCGTGCTTTCTCGATTTTTAAAGTTTGGCTTGGAGCACCATGTTTTATGGAAAAACGTTTCCAAACAAACAAGGGTTTCCTATATCACTGTTTTTTCTAGCGTGGCACTGATGTGTTACTGTTTTCTGGAGCAACGGCAACAATGCCAAATAAACGTTAAGTCAGGTCAGATAATGAAATTAAATTACAAAAATACCCCACTAAACTTTTTAATTTTTTTTTTCTTGTCATTTTCTCTTAAAACCCAAGTGACCCAAAAATACCTTTAACCGTTACCGGATTATTATTAGAAACTTCATCCAATTGTAGCGGTTTTGCTGCAAAAATTCATTTACCATTGAATCTTTGATCCCCGGCATTGATTATCACGAGAATTGTTTAGCATTGGGTTTCCTTTCGGGTTTTCTTCGTTAACTTTGCAGAACCAGAAAGTATTACGAGGGTCAGGTCAGGTGGATTTCGTCAGAGTGGAACCCATTCTTTTGCAGCCAATTTGGCCCATTGCTAGCGATAGAACTCTAGCATGGGTTCTTGTAGCTCAAGTGTCATGTCTGTTGACATGGCCACTAAGCTCTTGAACTGCAAGCAGGCATATCAGGTACGCTCTCATCATAGTAACCGAGAACATCAGCTTGAATTGGTATTTTGACAATGACCGTTCGATGTTCGTCATCAATTGCATCTTCCGCGTTGGTTGCACCGCAGCGATGATAAACAATCACCGAAGTCGCCGATGAGAAGCTAAAAAAGAAGCCATATGCCTTGATCGGAGATTTCATCCTTAAAAGATAGGAAGATTTCGATAATCAAGAAATGTGAGACGACGCTTCAGAGAGAGGATTTTAAATGGGTCCGGATGCAGTAGGCATGTTAGGTAAGAACAATGAATGAACATCTAATAGCTGTGTGATACATGTCTAATTAAGGTGTTTTTCATCTAAAAGTTTTTGTTCAATTATACATAAATTATTTATTATTTTATTATTTTTGTTAAAATAATTAAAAATAAAAACAATGAAAAAAGAAAACCTAAGCATGTTGAGAGTTGGGACTCGTTTACATTTTTTTTTTATTGTTTTTTATTTTTAATTATTTAGACAAAAATAATAAAATAATGAATATTTTTTGTCTAATGGAGTCAAAACGTTTGGATGAAAGACACATTAATTGGGACATGTGTCACACAACTATTACATGCTCACTCATTGTACTTACCTAATGTGTCTATTACACCCGGGCCTGGGGATTGGAAAATAACAAGTGTACAACTAATGAGCTAAATGACAGATTTTACAATTCAAAGATATTTTTTTTCGAAAAAATATGTCCCGAATTCCTGATTAGAGATGTTCTGCCATGAAAGAGTAGAAACAGGAGTTTGTTTCCTGCTTGGTGGAATTGTGGAAATGGGCAACAGACATGGGTGGAATCAAGGTGCACGCTGGTCAAATGCAGGAGGAGCCTATTCTGGGGTGGGCGGCGGAGGCACTAGGGTTAGAACTTGGTAGGGATATCTAATTGGACACGGATACAAGACCACCGGAACTCTCCGAGATTCATACCTTGTAAATCTTAATTAATTATAATGGGAGTGATGAAAATTGAACACTAGAACATTTGATAAAAATGGTTCTAATACCATCTCAGAGAACCATTCAACCTAAAAGCTTAAACTGTTAAGTGAGGTTCTTGAATATGTTTTATTCTTTAACAATAACCAATGCAGGTTGGATGATGGTGGAACTAGAATGGGTGGCAGAGACACCGGAGATGGAATTGGAAATTTGTGGCCAGAGCCAAACTGCTGTGGTGTATGACACTAGAGCTGGAATGGGTGGTGATACCGGTAGAGACATCAGGAATGATGACAACTAGAGCTAGAGGCAGTGGTGGAAATGGCAAAAACATTGCGATCAACATGATTCACATCTCTTTATCTTCCCTTTGTTCAGTCACCCAAATCCCAATTCTCATTTATATTCAGTTTGGAAGGAGTACAAATACAAATATGTAGAGTGCAAAACTCTGTATTTTATATTATTTTGTATGTATTTGCATTGTATATATTTATATTTGTATTCTTTCCAAACTGAACTTTAGTAATTGTGTCTTTTTATAAAAAAAAGGGTAATTTGAATATTTAGAAAATTTTAAAGTCAGATGAGAATTTTTTTCGAAATTGATTTGTGATGAATACTTTGTATTGGCCACTAGATATCTTGACGTGGCAGAAATCGGCAGGTTTGTGAAGGAGAATTTCCCACTTGACTTGATTAAAAAAAAAAACATTTTTACTCATTTATATGTATATTAGGATTAAATATACGTAGCCACTAATCCATTCATAGTCAAGTTGGAACCAAACCTAATTCCTGGATTTATATGGGATTCAAATTGCAATCAAATGTTGAGCAATACTAATAAATTGAACTAAAAATGTTCATAATACCTTTACCAAAAGAGCAATGCTCAAAAGAAAATTTGGGGGTATAAAAAAAAAAAAAAAGAACAATGATCAAAAGATTATATATTAATAATAAAATGGACTAAAAAAGGCTTGGCTCGTAAAACTTGAATAGTGACTGTTTAACAAAAATACCATATCCAAATCAATTTCACATATAAAACTCAAGCATTCATAGTAATATCAAAACAATTTCGGATTACTCTTGGTTCAAATTTTAAGTGGAACAAATTGGATGCCGTTTGTAGCCCTATTGCTACAAAAAGAGTTGCTTGATGATATGATAAAGTCACTTGCGAAGTGGTGTCTCTCTTGCATCTTGCATGGAAGGAAAGAAAAGAAAAAGAAAGCAAGTTCTTGCTTCCAAAGATGTTGTCAGTGGGTGGAACCACGACAGGAGACACAGACATGTACACAGTTACACACGCACCTGCCAAGACCCAAGAGCAACACAAATCCCCTAACCGTTTCCACCGTATATTTAACGCTCAGTGAGACATGCCGTTTTTCTGAATTGCCACCTGGCGAGTTCAGGAAGCTTTACAGTTGGATGCCGTGCTTCTTAGCTCTTGGATCTGGATTTGTTTTCCCAGTCTTGTAGGCTGGTTTGCGGTCGGATCGGAAGGGTCTCAGTTGCTCTTAAATCTTAATCAGTAATAATACTACAGCAACTTTCCACCTCGTTAATCCCACTAGCCATCGCCTATCGACTCGGGTTCTTTGGGTTGAAGTGAACTTTCCCGCCTTAAGAAATCAGGAAAGCTGGTGTAAGTTTGCTTCTTCAAAAGGAAAGTATTAGATTCCCACTCCCAATCGGATTTCGAGTTCTCTGATTCTAGTCGGCATCGTTAAATAAATGTTACTGAGAAACAAAGGCAATACAGATTTAGAAATTGGTGAAATAACAGACTTGTCTCCATGGAGGATTTGGTGGTAGAAGCTCTCTTCAACGGAGGGAGAGAAACTCAGATTCGAGCAGCAACATATCTCACCAAACTAACGACTGAAGCCAAAAATTTATTGGTCGACAAGGGCGTCGTCACTCCTCTTGTCTTCATGCTTTGTTCTAAACAAGATTACGAGGCCATCGAAGCTGCTCTTTTTGCTTTACTCAGTCTCGCCACTCGTAGCCAAAAGTACGTTACGCTTACGCGCGTACATTCTATTTCTTTTATATTCAGTTGTTATTCACCGATCCATTAATGGCCTTCCCTTGATTATTTTCTGGAACCATTTTTTTCGCTTTAATTTCTTTCTACTTATTCCAGGAACAAGATCCTTATTGCAGAATCTGGCGCGGTGCCGATTATTGTAGATCTCCTCCGACAAAAAAGTAGCAGCTCGCTGTCTGAACTTGCTACGACTGCTCTGTTGATACTCTCTTCCTGCACCAAGAACAAACCGGTGATTGTGGCCGCTGGTGCCATTCAGCTTTTAGTCGACAGCCTCACCACACTCGACAACATAACTACAGGAACAGAAACAGGAAGAAGGCACAGTAGCGTGCAGGCCAACCTTGATGCCATCAGCGCGCTCCACAATCTCTCAACCTGTCATCAACTCGTTCCGTCAATCGTGTCGGCCGGTGTAGTCTTTCCCCTTCTCCAGCTCGTATACAACTCTAACAAGGCATCCAAGTTGACCGAGAAGGCATTGGCGCTACTCGAAAAAATTGCTGCTTCGTCAGAGATTGCAGTTGATGAGATTGCCAGCACCCAAGGAGGAATTCTGGCACTTGTAGAGGCAGTTGAGGGGGATTCCCAACAGAGCAGGGAGCACGCGGTGGGCGTGCTACTGTCAATATGTAGGACCTGCATCGACAAGTATAGGGGATCGATTTTGAGGCAAGGCCCGATACCTGGTCTGCTTCAGTTAAGCCTGGAGGGGACTAGGAGAGCCAAGGATATGGCTCGAGATCTGTTGATTGTGTTGAGAAATCCAGTTTCCCCAAACCATGGTTTCAGAAGGAAGGGCACTCGGAATGGATTTCTGGAACAGATTATTGAAAATATTGAGTCAGTGGAAGATGAGAAGGCTGCCGTTACAGCAATGAGATCACTCGAGGAGATGATTACAGAACTCAGATCCCACCTCTAGAATCTAGAATTCTTCCATGTCTTTATTTGTGTTTGGGATCGGCTGACAAATTCACTCATTGTATCATTGTGATTGGCAATATCGTTTGTGTATATAATAGCTAAAATTTTGAGTGCTTTGGTTGGAACTTCTTTTCCCGTTTTTCACTTTAAAGGTTAAGAATGTTTTCTTGACTGCAGTCTCGTCTCAGTATTAACAGCATTCTACCATTAAATGAGTAAAACCTACAGATTCTCGGATGATTGTTATCACACTCATTTGAATTCCCCACTCATCTCCGTATGGCAAGAGGCAGATGGTAACAGATCATGTCAAAATGAGGATAGTATATTTCCTGAATTCATTAATCAGGCCATGGATCCAACTTCCGACCTCAATATAACAGAAAATCTTTGAACCAGCATAGAAAGGCAACCTATACTGAACATGAAAATGGCTATTTAATCCAAAGGACAGGACCACGTCAAAAACAAAGAGAAGGAAGAAAAGCAATTGGTCTAAAGCGGCCATCCACATCACAAAACCAGACAAATTATCATATATCTACATTTATTTATTTATTAGTTAAAGAATCCTTTACATGGTATGCAATCATCAAATGAATAGAGATCAATCTTTTTATTTGTTTGAGCACATGGATTAGCACAAAATCATAAATTACATTCGTACATTCTTTTTTAAGGTATCTGATTCTTTGGCCAACATATATATGATGATACAGGAACTAGAATATCAGATGCTTCCTCCAAAATGCATCGGAAGAAGAGGGAATAAACCATGGCAGAAGAATATGGCCCCATAGAGGTGGCTATTCTACAAAAGCAAGGGTGAACAAATAGACTCCCCAAAATTATCACCACCTTCCCCATCCACCATCCTCTTCAGTCAAGACCTCCTAAACCTTGTCTTCAGCATTTTTCTCCACTTACAACTCCTCAGGGTGTATATATTTCAGTTCCTGTATGATGGTGGAAGGCCCAAATGATGGTCCCATCTATCTGCTGTGGTGCTTTGGAAGGGCTAGAGTGGACTTGTGAAGCTGTAAGATAGACATAACGCAGGGTATGCCTCGATTGCTCATGATGCAAGAATCACATGTTGGCACATCTCTAAGAGTCCACCTGGCCACCTTCATGTATAATCCTCGCATGTTGGCACATCTCTACGAGTCCACCTGGCCACCTTCATGTGTAATCCTCACGTCCAACTTTCTCTTATAAGCCCAAGTCAAAAGATATGGAACTGGAAAGCTCCTTTGAATTCTTTCTTCCTTCTGAATAATCTCTGAGTGTATTGGGCCACCCCTATCAGAAGAGAACATCACCTCAGCATCTCTCAGTAATCACAACTGTTTGGTCTAGACTTTACCACATCCCAGTACAACTGCCCAGTGAAAGAGAATCCGATGATGGTTTCAAGATTTGAATGCCTTAGGCATCATTAGCTCCCATTGTGTGGGTCAATGAAACGAAAGATGACTTAGCACAAACATATAGAAGTGGAGACGGATGAGCTTCTGCTTGTTTTCTTCCCTTTTACACAGTTCACAAAGAATTTGGTGATTTAGTCCTATGCCACCTCTGTAGACACATCCTTGTGCTACTGTCATACTCCCATAAACCTGAGAGCACCTGGCGCTCAAGTTTTTTCATCCTCCCACTGATCCAATTGTTATGGAGAATTATACACCCTTTCTTCGTGCATTCTGCTTTGACATCTTCTTTCTCCCACAGGCCTTGGTAGGCCCCATTTGGAAATAAATTCCTGTCCAAGAAATGAACTGTCACATTACTCTCAGGTTCAAGGCACTTGTCATCACTTATACGGTTTGATCCACCTTCCCCACACAGTACATCATAGAAGCTTGGCTGCTCAGATAGGCCAGAAGTTGATGCATGTTCAACCACCTTCTCCATTGCAGCAATTGTTGCACCATCAGAATTAGCAAAGTAAAAACCAGAGTTTAAGCGCCGGGGATTGTTTATGGGGCCTGCAAACAAAACTCCCAGAAGAAGCAGATTAACTCTTCATTAGTAATAGACAGGATTCTACTGGTATATTTTCTTTTCTTTTTCAGGAATGTAAGTGAATCAGTACCAACTATCAGAAAGATCAAAAGGATGGTCTACCAATGATAAGGCTGGGTGATCCCATGATCCCATTAAGAGATTCTAGGCTAACTACTCAACAAATTGGAAAATATATCCATTCATCCAATTTATTAACATTTCCTGCATCCTACCCTGGCAAAGATGTAATTTATAGTGCTGAACAGTGAAAAAAGATTTGCTAGCAAGATGTTTACATAGAATCAATACCTGTTTCATTGTATTCATCTGACTGTGCTACTAAAACAGCAGGTCCAAACAAACGAACAAATGGCAATGGATTTTGAAACCAATAGATATCAACATCACTCAAGAGCACATTGTAACCCAGCTTAAGTATCTGCAAAACCAATCTGGACTTCACTTTTGTCACCCTCTGAAAGCACTCTGTGCCAAAGTGGCAATTGTTGAAGCTGATGTTGCCTGGAGCCAGTGGGTCTTTGAAGACAGGCAAGCCCTATGAAACAAAAACACTATCTTAGAACAGCAAAACTATAGGGAGAGAAGGTTCACTAGGTGGGTCAAGTAGGAAGTTTCTAGACCATACAGAACCCATTGGATTGCCACATGTCTAATCTGACAGTCCATATCAGAGCTATATGCCTCACCTTATATTGGACTTCCTCACAACTACTATTAGCTATTGGAGTTTTAACATTTTAGTATAAAACCAACCTATAATCTCATAGTGGTGAACAAGGTCCAAATTAGGAGCTTTACCCCCAATTGATATTCCCACCTCCCAAGTACGGAACTTTTTGGAAAGGGCAAAGAATATCAACTGGTTTATATTCATCCATCTATAAAATTCCTTTAGTAAATATCACCATCATTCACGCCTTATCTCAACCATATGGGGTCAGCTACATGAATCTTGTTTTTCCAATCCATTCTATTTAAAGTCATATACACTGTTAAATATCAATATTTTAAAACAGGAGGTGTGAGGTGTTCCACTACCAAGAGGCATGAGGCAGTAGTTCAGAACACAAGAGGTATAAACCTCCCAAGCTCAAGGAGGTGTAAACTTCCTTAAGAGGAGGATCTCATCTTGTTTTTCTTGTTTTTTCCCTTCCCTTCCCTTTTCTTTTCTTTTTTTTTCTCTTTTTTTCTTCTATTTCTTTCTTTTAGTATGAGGCATACACCTCAGAGGCATCATCACCTCTGACTTATGCCTCATGGTGTTTTGGGGGAGACTTGCCTGGAGGCACGAGCATATGCCTCATGGTGTTCTGGTCATACTACTACTATTTGTACTTTAAACTTTTGCATACATATAAAAAACAACAATTGAAAAGAAATACCCAACAAGCCAAAAAGGTGGAGATCAAATCAAAAAAAGAAAGAGAACAGTTAAGTAGGGGCACCTGCAATACAGAGAACTGATAGATTTCTTCATCGAGAGCACAGACAACAAAATTCGTAACTAGGAGTTGGCGTAAGCGACAAACCCAACTCATAAGCATATCACGATAACTATTGCCAGCAATTGTAAGCACAATTGTCTTATCCTTGTCTGCAGTTACTGAAAGGAGCGACTCTAAGGAGAATGGAAGAAATAAGGGGATAGGCAGCTTAAATAGATCCTTAAAGGAGCAATCCATATTTCTATACAGTGAATTGCTAACCTTTAAACATTTCATATGTTTCTTCTCCCTCCTGGATTGTAAGATCCTTTCATTCAAGAAACTTAATGAACCCTGATCTCCAGATGGATAAGTAATGTTTTCTTCTATATCGATGAAAAGATAATCTTCATCACACTTAATAAGTTTTACCAGCTTTTTGAAAAAAATGTCTCCACGAAAATATAATGAACCATATAATGTTCCAAGAAGAGTATTTCCAATATATTCCCAACTTCTCTCTTCAGTATCTACAACACTGGAGCCTCTGAAAAGCTTGCCAGGCCAATGGTCCGGATCAACTAGGTAGAAACTTGAGATGACCTCACTAGCATCAAATACAAATCTAAGGTCTGATGACAAGGCCTCGTTAATGATCCACTCATTATGAAGCCCTTTGCCATATAAGAAGGGAGGTAAGACTCCAGAATGTAGGGGCAGTTCCCCTGTGTTCCATGCCATAAACATCCTTCCATAGCAGTGGCTCAAACGCTGCTTTTGATCTAGGAATTCCTGCAGCTGATGGAAGAGATATGATTTCAATGAAACTATTCCATGTGAATTAAATCCATTTCTTACCTTGCAATAGGTTCCTCCATACCTTGACTACTTTTATCTGTTTCCCATCCTCTCGCAGCCAGTGCTGCCCAGCTTCATCCAAGTGAAATGAGAAGTGAGAAACATTTGGTGATGCAGCAACAAGGAGCCAATCATGATCAAGTTTGTGAACAAAATTCAGGATGGAGATAAAATCAGGAAGAAGTACTGTCTCTGGATTGATCAGAACAGAAATTTCAGATGTTGATACCTGTGATCTTGCAACAATGGAATGAAAGAATGGGGTCCCCAGGAACCTAGAAAGAGAAGTTCAAAGAATGAGGTCAATATATTGGTACATTGAACTATTTGGTAAATTATGCAAGAATGTTAAATATACTGGTATTGATATAACAAAAATGAAGGGCATAAAAATTATGGGGGTGCTCAACAACATGGTTGGTTTTGTTTTTGAAAACAAAAACAACTGCTACATAAGCAAAAACAATACAATTTTGCTGATGTGGCAGTTGTTTTTGTTTTAAAAAACAAAACCAACCATATTGTCGAATACCCCCTATATCAGCTCAAAACTGTGAAATTATTTCATGTCTCTTTAAGCATGTGTTTAATTGATTGCTTACATTTATTTATTTTTTTTAAAGGTTAAGGACCGTAAGGTATAATTTTTTAAAGAAAAGAAGAAAAGAAAACCATCTAAACTACCTAAATACCTACAATATGCATCAGTTTGCACACAAGGCCAGATTATTCAATCTTAGAAATGTCCTGTTCCTTTAGAGCATTCTTCGGAAGGTTAAAGAATCTGATAAAACAATTATATTAAATGTTTGCAATCATTTAACCAGGTTAGCTTTGTAGCTATTGTACATCATCTAATGGTGGATACCCACCACCAACAGAAAGGCTAGGTGAATAAATGTGCTTTAATGCTACATACTTCCTTCTGGTTACATTACTTCTGCTCTTGATATAGCATAATATTTTGCATTAATTTTATTTTTGGACATTAAAAGCTACAACGTTTTCTATATATAAAAAATTTGTTAGTATCATCTATCGAAATGGTTCAATGTTTTTGGCAATATAATGGATTCCTTTTTAATTTATTTTACTGTACATCTTGAAGCGTGCTTTCTAATGATCTCCAATAGCTAAATCATTTAGGAGTAAAGGATTAGGAAAATAATAACATATTTGAAATGATCTTTCCTTTACTTCAACTAGTTGCAGTATCTGATCCTGGAGCAGAATCAACTAATCCAAACTAAGATACAAAGCACTAGTAGTAAAAGCAAGCAAAGAGATAGCAAAATAAAACCCATAACATCGAGGAACACATCAAGATTGAACTATAAGAAGAAGATGATCAAATCACATTTCAAGGACTGGTAGGGAGTCTAGATAACTGCTTACGTGAAATCAATGTCAGGTTCGACGAAAACCCGTGAACCAAGAGAACCTGCGACGGAAGGAAGAGAAGGGTCTCGTCCGAATAGAACGACGGTGACATATGGAGATAAAGCGAGCCACGATCTAAGCGCTAGGAGCTGCCTCGCTCCGATGGGGCCAGCAAAAGCACTGGGCACAGAGAATATAGTTATATTGGGACTTGCCGGAGTACTGGCATCAAGCTTGGGATGCTTGAGATGGTCTTTCAAAGAAGGCAACCTCTGCGTAGCATAGAAGGAGAGACTAATCAAGAGAAATCCATACAGCCAAACAGACCACAACCCCACCTGTAATGTCTGGGAATTAAAACAAAAAAAAAAAAGTATGTAAATTATGTCAAAGAAAAAAGCAAAAAAAAAAAAAATAGAAGAGCAAGTAGATGTCGGACGTTCTGTGTTTATTGGGGAGCAATCTGACCTTGTTGAATCTAAACCAAGTGAAAAAAGATGAAGCTTTCATCGCCTCGAACCAGAATGGAATGAAAATGGGTTTGTTTGCATTGGGATTTAAATATGAGAGAAAAAGAGAGGAACTTTAACGGAAAGGAGCGAGGTATCGCGCAAGAAGAGGCAGCCTTGCAGAAATAGTTTAGTGGAGTATTAACAACCCAGACCCAGGGGACATGAGAGTCGTGAGAACCCAGTTGGGGACACGTGAGTTGTGGCGTCATAGAGGCGTCAACCCGCATTGGGAACTCCTATCCTTTTTTCCCGCTCGGCCGCTCCCACCGGATTTTGTTTTTTATTTATAAGAAACCTATACAGATTACAGGGTATACAAGGATTCATAGGTCAAAGAGACAAGGAAGGCGGCATGCATGGGTGACGCTGATGCACCTACGGATAACAATTTAGGGGGAATTTGAGGGTATAACTGTATAAACGGTTCCGATCTATCCCGACTCTCAAGATTTATATATCAAAATCTTATAGGTTTGGGATAGATTTGGAATTTTAGATTAAATTATTTGAAAGGGGATTAGGTTTTGATCTTAGGGTATCCGAGCCCAACCACAGTACATTGCTGGGCACGTTAGGGTATCCAGCCACACATATGAAATATCGGTTGTATTGTGGTCACAAATATTTTCAACCTTCTGCTGGATGAGTGTGGTCAACAGGTCAGCAAATCTGAACTCAGGGTATTTAAATCCAATTATACTTAATGTGAGTAGAGGGACATCATATTTTATTTATATGATGTAAAGTTAAATACAACGTTTAAAGTATCAAAAAGTGCAAAAAAATATTGAAGAAGCAATTAAAAGAAATGTACCGGATATGAATGGATACAATGGAAAAAAAAATTGAAATATATGGATATGTCATCAAAATTCAAATATATATTAAAAATATATGATTTTTTATAATCTATAATTCTAATTACTCTATACTAGTGTTTTCAAAACTGGACCGGACCATATGGTTGGACTAAAAAATTGGGAATCGATCACCTGACCAATTTTGATTCACCCTAAAACCACCTTTTAGCAAAAAAACCATCGATTTGGTCAGCTAACCGTTGACCTGGGCAATCGAACCATCAACCCAAACAATGGTTTTGGCCTTTTTTTTATTTCTTTGTAAATACAGACCATCCATTTGGACCAAACGGTCGAGTTGTTCGACCCAGGAACCGGACCCCAAAACGGTTCTATGCTCGATTCGATTTTAAAAACCTTGCTCTATACACAACAAACTTGTATTTTAATAGTTTATGGCTTGTGTGAATTGCAGTTTCACCATACAAATGGGATGTGTAAACTATCAAAATACTCCAAGAAAACATTAATACACACATATGCATAGTTTTAACAAATTAATACCATAAATCTCATTAATGATCATGTAAAAGGTTACAAAATTTAATAAGTAATGGTGATATGTCATGGTAGAAAAATTGCTTTCTCTTATGAAATTAGTCATCCAAAAATATCTCATGAATGGATAATTGAGATTATAGAAGAAAAAGTATTCAAAGCTAGTTTGACTATGGCTCGAGACCTAGGTATTTGCAAATGAATATAGTTACTTATCTGATGATGTGGGATCTGGTGCTCCCTAATGGCGGATAGCTCAAACGCTAGACTGAGTAGGTTGCCTAGCTAAGCTGCAAAAGGAGAGATCAGAGTGTTAGGGTTGCTTGACCCGAGGTGGGCACTTCGATGCTTAAGGCAGTGAAGAGTTTTGAGAGCTAAAAAGCAAGAGAGCTAGAGAGCTAGTGAACTGTGAGAGATAAATTGCGCGTACCTTTTCTGAGGAAGGAAACGCCTTTATATAGGCAAGCTACCATGAGGCTCACAAAGCGCATCCAAGATCTCTGGCCCATTTGGTTCGGAGGTGGTTTCACGCCTGGAGGTGGACTCTACGTAAGCGGGTAATGCTTATTCAGACATGCCCAAAGCGGGTAGGGTGATAACCAGCTCTTTCAACATAGTGTTGTGATCCCAGGGAAGTCGAAGATAATAGCCTGCTTAAGCAGGAGGACGCCCAACACGTCAAGCAGGTCACCAATTGGGTCCTAGTTAGGTCGGCAGGGTCCTGGGGGAGGTCACTGCTAATGCCGAGGTCCCTAGCTCGATCGTGATGAGGTGCCACCTGAGTCTTCATTAGGTCAGCGGAGGCAGGTTGTCGACCTAGTCCTATCGAGATCTTATGTCGTTAGGTTGGCGAAGGTAAGTTGCCAACTAGGTCTCCCTCAAGTCGGCGGAGGTAGTTGCCACCTGAGTCTCCATTAGGTCAACGGAGGTAGGTCGCCACCTGGGTCTCTGTCAAGTCAACAAAGGTAGGTCAGTGGAGGAGTAGGCAGATTGACCACCATGTCATGCAGGTTGACACCTGGACCTCAGTCTGGTCGGTGATACCTCTGCGGGAGGTCTACCTTCGTGTCAAAGTCTTAAGCTCGACCCTAAGGTGGTCGTCCCAATCCTGACAAGGTGTCTACAGGTCAGCCATAGCGAGGTGGTGACAAAGCGCCCTCAGGGCGTGCGAGGCGATAATTCCCACAGGAACCATACAAGGTTAACCTATGGGAGCGGCTCCACAGTCTATTGGCCGTCAACACCCACGGAAACCAAAAAGGGCCCAACCTGCGAGGGTGGCTCCACAGCCTGATGGTTGTCAACTCCCATAAGAACCATGGAGGGGTCAACCTGTGAGGGTGGCCTCACAATTTGTTAGCCGTCAACTTTTACGAGGATAATGGAGGGATCGACCCACAGGGCGGCCTCATAGTCAGGGCTGGGAGATTATGTCCAGGCTGATCATTATGATTATGCCCCTATAGGGGTTCCTTCAATCCAAGCGTTGTTGTTGTTGCTTGAGGATTCCATTACTTTAGGCTCAGAGAACGGATTGAAACGTAGCTTTTGTGTAGTGTGTTCCCACAGATGACGCCAATTGATGATGCACGATCTGGTGCTCCCTGTCGATGGATAACTCAGGCGCTAGACTGAGTAGGTCACCTAGTTAAGCTGCAAAAGCAGAGATCAAAGTGTCCGGGTTGCTTGACCTGGTGTGGGCACTCTGATGCTTAAGTCAGCGAAGAGTTTTGAGAGAGCTAGAGAGCTAGTGAACTATGAGAGTTAAATTGCGCGTACCTTTTTTGAGGAAGGGGACACCTTTATATAGGCAAGTTGCCATGAGGCTCACAAAGCACATCCGAAATCTCCAACCCATTTGGCTCGGAGGTGGTTTCACACTTGGAGGTGGACTCCGTATAAGTAGGTAGTGATTATCTAATCGCACTCAAAGCGGGCATGATGATAACCGGCTCCTTCATGTGGCATCATGATCCCGGGGAAGTCAGAGACAATAACTCGCTTAAGGAGGACGTTGCCCAGCACGTCAAGTAGGTCGCCAGGGTCTCTAGGGAGGTCGCCCCTAATGCTAAGTCCCTAGCTCAGTTATGATGAAGTCGCCACCTGAGTCTCTGTTTGGTCACCCAAGGTGTAGGCAAGTTGACCACTATGTCATGCAAGTTGCTACCTAGACCTCAGTATAGTCAGTGAGACCTCGGTAGGAGGTCTACCTTCATGTCGAGGTCTCAAACTCAATCTTAAGGTGGTTGTCCCGATCCTGACAAGGTGTCTACAGGTCAGCCATGGCGTGGTGGTGACGAAGTGCCCTCAGGGTGTCAGGGTGTCATGCGATGATTCTAGGATCTCCACATGGCGTGTTGTCACTAATTAAACAAGAGATCATGAAGTGGCCTAGTGGTTAGAATACTTATGTTTCAAGTAAAACTTGGGTTTAAATCCTTGTAACATATTAGTTTTACAAAAGACTGATTTTAAATATAATTAAATGGAATTAATCAAGTTAATTATAAGATGGAGATAATTAATAGAACTAAGTAATGTTATAAACAAGGTTCAAAATTTTGCAATGTATCGGGCCGATACGTATCATTCCAACAAGAGCCCGACATGTGAAATGTGTAAAAATCATCTGTTCTGTTTCTTTTTGTATGTACCACACTGATATAGGCCCGAAACAATATGATACAGCCCGATACACTTGATTTTTTTAGGGTGCCCTTCATTCATTAATCTCTTTAATTACTTCTATATTTAATTCTAAATTTTCTTTCATTAATTAGTCAATTATTCCTACTTTAAATTTAAATTTGAATTTTAGCGCCTAATTCAATTCTCTTATTAATTCCATTAATTAATGATACTCTCTCATTAATTCCGCTAATTAATGATCCTATCTCATTAATTTCGTTTTATTAGTATAAAAACTACAGACTTTAAACAATGGCAAGATTCAAACTTAGTCACTAGGTTTTAACAAATGTAAGTATAGACATTCATATTTTAGTTTTTTTTTTTGTTTTCTCACATTTTATTTATTCCATCTTTTTTCAACAGTTATTAATTGTAATTATTTATAATTAAATGATTGTAAATATGGATTTTTACATTTAAATAACTTATTTACAATCATTTAAAACTTATAATTATTGTTAATAGTATATTTTTAGGATATATTTGAATTTCCTAACATATTTATACGTATCTTAATTTTTTATCCGTATCTATGTGTATCCAAAGTGTATCTCGATACGTCTCTTAAAATTGTCTTTCCAATACTCCTTGCATTTCCGATACCTTGAACCTTGGTTATAAGTTAATGTGTTAAATAAGGTTGATTATGGAGCCAATTATGGTAAATGGAGTGTTAAATAAAGTCAATTATGATGAATTTAATGGGCATTAATAAGACAAGTAAATTTAAATTTCAAATTTGAAAAATGATAGCAATAATAGGATATTCAAATAATAATCAGGTGAGACAGGTTGGGACGGGTTTAACAGGTTTGGGACAAAACAAGTTTGGGGTTTGGAAGATTTGGACAAAAGATTAAATGAGTTTGGGGTCATGGGTATCTAAATGGATTCGGGAAGGGCAATTTTCACAAGTACCCTACCCATTGCCATACCTAGATCCACCCTACTATAGACAAAGTCACCGCAAAAGGGGGGTGGGTTCAAATCGAGCAAACAAAGAAAAACATGAGGTTTAACCTCATGATCAATTCTAGCTAGGGATCAAAGCTCAAATTCAACTCAACCCAAAAGCTCATATGTTCAAACTTGAGCTCAACCATGAGCTAAACTTCCTAAAATATAAAATAGTACACATGTAAAAAATTATTTCTTATTTTACATTTAAATATATGTAAGTTCAATTAGGCTTGTGAGCTTCACGAGCGCTTCATTGGACTCAAACTTGACTTGAAGCTCAATTTAGACTTAGCCAAATCAAGCTTATCATGAGTTGAGCTCGAATACCTTGTGAAAAGCTATTCGTGCCCACCCCTAGTCATTGGAATAGTTATGCATTCTAGATGTTACTGAATGAGCAACAAGGTTATTTTCTCTTCCAATACAGATTAGTCTCAACCGCTGAAGGAGGCACAAAAGGTCTTTCACATCCAAGATTAGGTTGTGTAAGGGGTGATGATCCAGTGAGTAACAAGATTAGGTTGCTCCAGTGGGCTTGATAAACTCAATTTTTGTTACCAACACTTCAGATATAATCCCCAAGACAATCAATTTTATTGCAACATGATTTCTTGCAAGCAAAAACTCTGCACACACTCTGCAAGCATGGGAATCCAGCTGCACATTGGGAGCATCTCCCTATGAATTTAACATACATGTACGAGAGATATTCCTAATATGCAACTGGATGATATTGCTATGAGCACAAAGTTTTTGTTTGCAAGAGATCCGGACTCAATTTTATTAGGTTTTATTTTTAGAGTAGAGAACTAGTGAGGGGCACGAATTATGCACTTGTGCAAGTAAAGAATAGAGATTTAAATTATCTATAATATTGGAAAGACATGATACTGGAAAGGATTTGATCGATCAAAATGTCCTATGGACTTTGATGAAAATCCACCCGATAGATTACCACTTTTATGATGAAGTTTGATTAGTTAAAAGTTTTTCTGGTATCATGTCTTTCTAACATCATAATTGAATCCTAACAATATAATCAAAAATAACTTTTATAACCTGCACCTAACCAAGGGAAGTATTTGTCTTATATAGCATAAATACCAGACTATACATGGGTTCTGCTATGATACCAGAAAGGTTTTTATCCTATCAGCCATTATCATAAAAATGGTAACCAATCAGGTGGCATTTCTCAAAATGGTTTTGATTGGTAAAAGCCCTTCTGTTATCATGCCTTTCCAGCATCATAGATTTTCCCAATATGTAAACCTCCCATTTATTTACAAACGCTAAAACCTCCTTTTGCACATTGACCTATGTTAAAACCTCCCTTTTCGTTTCACACAAATATACAAATGCATCCACCCTCTTGCTACCCTGTAAAAAAGAATAAAATTACAACCAACCCTTATTGTGAATGTGATGTGCACAGTTAACACTGCTCTCTCTTTGATTTATCAAAAAATAAATAAAAATAAAAGAAAATCACTGCTCTTTTAAGAGTTTAGATTGCCTTCATTTTTACTACCCTTAAAGCTCTTTGGAAAGAGTATAAATACAAATATGTTCAGCACAAATACAAAGATTCATAGTTCATACTCATAGGCTCTGTTTGTATCTGCACTGTACCTATTCGTATTTACACTTCCTATAAACAAGAATCCAGATTTCTTCAGAACCTTCCTCACAGCACTTGCAGCCGTGCATTGCGAACACCTCCCATGAATCATTATCTGCTTTTGTATGTCCAAAATTTCAGATCATACTTTCCAAAGATTTACTGATTTCTTTTACCAGAAAAAAAAATTAAAGAAAAAAAGATTTCTTTAGATTTATCAATTTCTATCACTCGGCCATCAAGGAACATGATTTACAAGCTTTGTGAAGCATTGAACCCATCTTTACTCTTTAGAAAGGCAATTTTCCCTCCTAGATCCCAGTAGCTGAGTCTTGTGGTTCACTCCATTTCCCAAGTGAGCTTAAGTTCTTAAATATGTTATATTTTACACCCACCATCGCGATGTCGAACAGTCGAAAGGCCAAACCAGGGATGGCATTTCATTGAACATGGCGATCAGAATCATCGTCCGTCAACGTCAACCAACCCCCATTTCATCCGCACCTCCGTCAATACAATACTTGTTTTTATCGGCATCCACTACATCTTTGAACTCGACGCATGTTTACCAGAACACATTGCAAGCCAGCCGACCAGTCAGCATAAACAGAGCATACAAAAGGAAATACAATTTTCATCAGAAACTCCGTCTTTTATTGGGAGAACATCATTTACCAAACTGTCAGCAATATGCTACAAAGCTTTTACACTGGTTGCTTGATACAGGATACGCCAATCCGAAATGCAAGTAAAACGTCAGGATCAGAAGAAGCCCAAGCATCACATGGTTAAAACAGTGCACATTTGATTTCTGCAGATATCCTCGGCAGAAGAAAATGACCATTCCGAGGCAAGTAACATGTCATTATCATCATCCCCCCTGCACAACATATGAATGCTACATCCTCAAAATAGTTGCCGTTTATATCATCATCTTCTCCTACGAACAGGCGAGTTGGATCTTGATCTCTTACTCCTGCAGTTAGAATTATGTTTCAATTCAAACAAATTCTGAGCCATAGGTCCAAAAGACTGAATGTTTCACCTGAGACGTTTACTGTTATGATGCATGTATATGCCTCAAAACATTTTTAACACAATCTGAAAAACAGACGGCCTGAAAACACACCTGCTGGTCTCTAGAGAAGAGTAAGGAGAATGCCTGCGTTGAGAGTGCTTGCTATGTGGTGACCGCGAAACTTGTCTAGAAATAAAAACATCCATCATACTGACCCGGTGAGTTAAAATGCATAATTTAATACACAAAATTTCATCCTCGTATAAAGTCAGCACTTGATACAAATCAGCCTGTTTGTATAGGTAATAGGTTACTCTGCCTCTGATGACAAAAATAATATCTTATAGAATTAAATAGACAAGATACTCCCATTAAAAAAAGAACGTCAACCATCAAATGAACACTACAAAATGGTGAATTACAAAAATGCTCTTGTGCCCCACAACAGAGAACCCACAGAGAAGCTGCCCAAGTGCACCTTGTAGATCATTTAATGAGATCAAATTATCATAGACTCTCAGGTAGAGTACCAACTAGGGATGATCATGGGCCAAGCCTTTACAGTGTAATAACAGCCTTTTGGGCTGCCCAGGCCAGGCATCCAGGCTTGTCCATATAAATTAATAAATTATATTTTATTAAGAATACATTGTTAACTTTACAATCAAAATTACAGAAAATACATATAGATATTCCTAATACATATATTAAAGAGGGTGGTCCTTGGCACAACGGTTGGGTTGCTCCATTGCAACTGGGTGACCAGGGTTTCTTGGAAACAGCCCCCATGTGTAGGGGTAAGGCTACATACATCTGCCCCTCCCCAGACCCTGCATTGGTGGGAGCTTCGTGCACTGGGCTGCCCTTTTTATATTCATTAATTTATTAATATGTACTATATAAGTTATATATGGTTATACATATATGTAGATGATATATATATATATATGATCAACCCTAGTACCAACCACTGAGTAATTTGCCACCACAGATCATAGGCTTGCCGAACAACCAGTTGGCCCTCAACGAGAAAGGAAGCAGTTGCACTGACCACTAAGATCTTCTAATGCTTGACATGTGTAAGGCTTAAGCCTTGTGGGATCTCATTCTCTTTAGAATACATATAAAAAAAAAAAACATAAGATAAAATGAGAAGAATATATATAAGAAAAAACTCGCTACTTTGTAGTCCTTGACTCCTTGATTATAAGATTACTAGTATACATTAGAAGAAAAAAAAAGGCCATTGCCCAATAAGACCATGGATAGCCAGGATCATCATTGGGTAATAGTTCCTTTTTGATGTATAAATGAAAGTCTTAACCAAGGACTAAAAAGTAGTAAGAAAGCTCTTAATGTAAATTAAAACCTCAAATTGGTATTGAAAACACTAAACATTAATGCACATCTAGAAATCTTAGAATTGATCACTAACTTGTTCTTATGATGAGAACCTTACTTTAATGTATGATATACATATTTTTAGGTACTCACCTCAAGAAAAGCCCCAAGGCAGAAGCTTCATAAGCCTTTTAAAACACCGATGTGTCTAAAGAGGATTCCCCTCCAATGAAAAACTTGTACACTATAAAGTGGATTCCCCTCCCATGAAAAACTTACAGACTTAAAGTCCTCCATCCACAACAGTCCAAAACCTAATCATGTACTACTAGAAGTCTAGAACCCTTCCATGCAAATGTTAATTAGTGAATTTTCTTTTAAATAAAAGCAAGGAAAGAAAAAGAATCTTAAACAGAATTAGGCATGATGGTGTATATGGACCAATCTGGTTCCATCCCCAATTATCTACCCACCGCATGTAAAAATCTTGCACCAGCTAGAATCTTAAACAAACCCACTGGGTCTCAAGACAGACTTCATGGCAAAAAGTAGTGAAATTAATATAAAGAAAAGTACCTTCGCCTAGACCTGGTAGGTGATGGTGACAAGCTATGCCGCTTTGAATGTGGCTTTCTGCAGAGTGCACCTGAGTGTAAATATCTAAATAAAAAGGGGGAAATGAATAAAAAAGGGAAAGTGGTCAAAGATCTACAATGTGAACCTTTGCTGCTTTGAATCTTCAGAAACACCATTACTCAAGTTGCTGGAATGACTGCACACTGAATTATCTCTGCTTTTTCTATCCCTACTGCTAATTGAAGATGAACGCCTTCTCTTGTGCCTGCCCAAGTCATCTCTTGAAACTTTATGCCTGGATCTATCTCCCCTCTCATCCCTGGTCCGCTCTCTTTTTCTGTTATTATCTTCTTTAGAGCTGGATTTTTTAACTTTCTCAGTTTCCTTTCTGTCATCCTTACTATTGACATGACTTGAAACTTTTCTTGAATCAGATTCCTTTGCTTTTTCCTCAGATTTGGTTCCTCGATCTTTCAGCCTCTCCTTCGAGCCATTTTTATTATCTGTCTTTTCCTTTTTTGTATGCCTTTCATCCTTTCTCCTGTGATCAGTGGAATTAGACTGTTTCTCAGACACTTTACTCTTACCAGTTTCGGCCTCTCTGACAGTGTCTTTACTCTCAAAGCTCCTAGCTCCCAATCCATCACTCTTATCTGATTTACTTTTGGCTTCCCTACCATGAGAATCATCTTTCAGTGATTTTCTATGACTATCATTTCCATGCACCGGCCCAGGTTTCACATGGCCTTTTCCTCCACCAGTATCCTTTGACGCAGAACCATCTGAGGCCTGAACCATCTTTTCACCATTGGAATTGACTTTATCTTCTTGGAATCCAGAGACCACCTTGGGAGCAGTTGTCAGGTGACCATCATTCTCATAATCCATACCTCTACCAACCACAATGCCCAAATTGTTGCCTTTATGTGTACCAACATTTTGGCTTGTTTTCCTCTTATCAGTCTCCATTCCCATTTGACTCCTACTGAGCCTCTCAGTTTCTCCTATAGGAATGCCATTCCCTACTGCATTAGGGATATCTTCTGCAAGCTTACCATCTGTTGACTGTTTATAGGCAGCATCCATTGGCCTGTTGGGCATGGTGGAGCTTTGTATCTCATCATCATCATCATTGTCAGAGGCATAACTTGCAAGACCCAGTACATCTCCAGGAGAACTAGAACTAGATTTCTCACCAACTTCCCTGGCATCAGCTTCCTTTGCCTTAACAGGAATCAGAACCTTTGCAGAAGCCTTGGGAGTTTGAACTAATGGAGGTGATGGTAATACCTTCTGATTTGGTGCAGCAGAACTGTGGTCAACTGGCAGACCAATTTCATATAAATAATCAAAAGGCTTTAATTAGAACCAGGACAAAAAAAGCATAGGAAATTTAGAAAAAGCAGGAATTAGAATGAGGGTACGGATTGAATTGATGACCAAAGAAAACCTCAAGGAGACCATTTCTGTTACCTATGTTCACAATCCCATGGTTATAGAGACATTGGAGAAGGATATTTGCACATATAACTAAGGGTGGATGAAGTGGAACGTGCATACTGCATAGTTTGTTCTTGGGGAACACCAACCAGATTAAAAGGAAAGTAATTATAATACAGCCACAAGGGCAACAATATTGTACTGGACAGAGTGAAGGGCAACCAACAAGCAATATGTCCACAGAACACGCATTAAGGAGAGAGGGGTACTGGGATGGATAAGTGGCAAGAGTACTATAGGAATTATGAATGGGGAAGAGTAGAAATGGTAAGAATTAGAAACAAATGCAATTGTAGGAATATTTGACATCCCCAACAGGTATTAAAATGAGGAAAAGTGGACTAAGATGGTTTAGATGTGTGTATGAAACAAAAGAGAACTAAACTAATAAGAAATGATCCAATACACTAATGGTGCTAGAAGTACCAAGAAAAGGCCAAAAAGAACATTTGTTGAGGTAGCTAGAAATTATCTAAGGACTTGTAGAGTATTAACTGGGAATGGCATAACAGGGTTTGCATGGCCAACCGAATACAGTTGGGAAAAAGTCTGCTGAGTTGAGTAGGTAAAAGCATTCAAAGTTACAGAAAGCAAGCTATAAGTATGTACCTTCAACTGTCAGATCTTCTTCACTAAGAACCTTTGTAGCAATCTCATCAAACAGTTCATCCGTAACCTGTTCAAAAGATAAAACTCAGCACCAAAAATACATTGAAGTACAGCATGGCCATTGGTTTTACTTTTATGCAGTTACAACCTTCAAAAGAACTTCAGTTAGGATACGCTTTATTTCCTGGTTGATTGCTGCTGTTCTTGCTGCCTCCACATCATCCTACATATAGAGCAAAGGAGAGTAAAGAGAGGTCATTATTTGTACATGTTACTAATTAGGAAGCTATAGGAACCACTGAGATAATGACAATTTTTCAAACTCATTTTAAGACGAAACAAGGGAAGTTGATAGAACATTATGATTAATGAAATTCATGTATTACAGCATTGAGGAAAGGAAAGAACCTCATCATCATCCTCATCCTCAGTTGACTTGGAAGAATCAATGCTTTTTCTATCTGCTTGATCATCTTTTTTAAAAGGCTTACTAACACCTTCACCAACATCTTCCTCAGGTTGCTCCTGAACTGAACTTGAAATAACAGCTTTCTTCTTAATTATTTCCTCTCTAAGCCAATTGGGTACCGAAGCCTGGAATTTTTCACAGAATCCAAACATAATAAAAATTCATCATTCCCTCAAAACATAACATTAGATAAATATATTTACCTTCTTTGGACGTTCCAAAACAGTCACATCTCCAGGAAATGTGGTTGAAGGATGAATGGTAGGTAGGCCAAAAGGGGCACCGGCAACTGGAATAGTAGGCCGAAAGCCTGCTCCAGGCATCCTGCCAAAGATTGGTGCAGCATGTCCAGAAACAGGAGAAGGTGCAACAAATGGAGGATCAAACTGCAAATGAAGCAAGAATTAGCATTTTCGGATCAAGACCTAAAGGAAATAGGAAATTATGCATATGGAGAACAAATACCTGTGGCCCTGATGGAACTGATGGAATTGGAGGATATCCCACCCCTGGAGCAACTGGGGGAGTCCATGCATGAATTGAGGGCACAGTTGCAATTGAGTCCATACTGCCTAAAGGCCCTGCTTGAGCAGGATGTGTGTAACTATTTTGCTGATTTAGTTCATTTTCATGAGTAAACCTTGGTGCAAAATCTAAAGGCCGGTCACTCAAATCAGCTGCAGCTTCAGCAGATTGATCGCCATATGTAAAATGGGGCTGTTCTGAAACTAATCTAGCAGCAGCAGGTAATTTGGGCTGCACATGTTGTCCATCATGATCTGATGATATGGGCAAAGGTGATGGCTTGCATAACTGCTCATTTTGATCCCCAACCTCCTGTCTACCTGTCATTTAGAGTGCAAAATCAAAAGTTAAAAGACCCAGCAGAGGAAACAACCTGAGCCATCCAGCAAACACCACACTCTTCAGGACCTATGCAGATAATACATCCATCTTCTGCATGGTAATATGCAGAAATAGAAACACAGTTCTGACTCTATGACAGACTGCTGGGAAAGGTCCAACCTAAAAAATCACATCCTCATATTCACAATCATGTTTGAATACATAAAGCATAATAAAAACTCTCTTCTCTTTGCTTTACTTCCAACTAGTTATAAACCTTGCCGAATCGCCAATTAGTTCTACTTTGAGAGATAATTAGTTAATTACATTCCCTGCAGGGCCTTGGTAGCTGATAGCATATTTTCCCCCATCATCTCTAAAGATCCCCCTAGGGCCATTGCCTGGTGCAATGATGAAATCTCAGGCTAGCAAGCAAGAGAATGCGGTTTAAGTCAGAGAGTGGCCACTTAGTGCCAAAGGTTAGGTTCATATACAGTCTAATGCTCTCAAGACCCATGACACGACGATTATTGGGTGATGGCCCTTGTTATTATCTCTCACTCGTCCACCCCCTTTTCTGAAGCTCCAGGCTCCAGGATTATTAATGCAGCCCCCATCAAAAATTTAACTTTGTCCTACCCTCCTCCAGAGCCATCCAAAAAGCAGCAATTAGCTTTTCCTAGTGACAAAGTTTGTTATTGTTTGCCATCCTCTCAAAAGAGAGTCCACTTGACCACCTTAAACTCCTTTCTTGGCATAGCCAAATAGGCTATAATTCTGAGAAGACTGATTCAGCATGGTACAGGGATCAACATGCAACTTATTGTATTGTCATCCAAATATTTAGGTATGCTAGAAGTGCTTGGGAGCAGGTTTGTCTTTCTTTAATTTAAGGGCAGTATTGTAATCCCATCTTTTATTGTAATATTAATATAAGAGTGTGGCAGTTAGAAGATGTCTCTATCGAGTCAAACCCCACTCTTCTTCTTTCTTTCTATTCTCTCTATCTTATATGCTGTTCCCTGCTGCTGGATTCTTTCTCCTTTATTTCCCTTTGTTTACAAGATTAATTTTAGGTTGATTACATTACTCATGAAACAAAAATTCAAATAGATAGGTCCTTAATGAATTAAAAAAATGAATTATATTTTTACAAGGAAAAAAGGAATTGTCAAGTGCAAAGAAAAGAACATCACCCCACGAGGTCCATCTAAGAGAAAAGCAAATGCAAGAATAATAAATAAAGAAGTCCAAAGATTAACAACTTATAGACAATTATTTCCATAATGTATCTTTCTTTCTTGGCCTAGGTGGTGTTCTGGGGAAAATGACACAATTTTCCAGGAAACTGCAGCCAACAGAACAAATTTTTCATTCAACCAGAAAAAAAAAAGGCAAACAACTAATATAACATTAAAAAAAAGGAGTACAAAATACAAAGAAAAAGACATCACTCAGGGGAACAAGTCATGAAAAAAAAAAGACATCTCTCAGATTAGCAGGGTACTTGATAAAAAAGACATCACTCAGGGACAAAGCACAGCTACATAATAGGCATTGTATTTATAATATAAAAAACTGACTTTTGGCTAGTTTCCTAGTTTTATATACCATTCAGCATATATGTTAATTGAAAAAATAGCATTCTCTTTATTAAGAACATTAAATTTCCTCTAAAAATGTGGCAAATCATCACATCTAAAAGATAAAAATCTTTTACATATATTAATTTCATTATTTTCAAAAATAATACTACAATAATAAGTATTTAATAGAGCAAATTCATATTAATTAGCAGCTAAAGAAGGTTATTAACTTTATATGATAAATATTCAAGATGGAAAGTAAAATAGAAAAAAAAAACAAGGATGGAGTTTTTGTTTTATTTAATTAGAGAGAAAGAATAGGCAAAAAGAACTTTATTATTCTATTCTTTCTTTCTTTTTCTCTTCTCAAAACCCTTTGATCTTTTAAATTTCAATAGTAAAACATTAAAACAAAGTATAATTGATATATATAGCATATAATAAAATGTATTAACACATACATCAATATAAATGATATTATAAAAGGCGCCCGCCTTGTCATTTTTGTCGCCTAGGCGGCCGCCTAGTTGCTAAAAGTCAAGGCGTTTGGGCGAGGCGCCTAGGCAATGCCTTGACAACTATGAATTGTACTTGATAAAAAAGGAAACTAATTGAAATTACACATGTATATTACACACCACTAAATCTGATTAAGAAACAATAAGATTCACATGACAAAAACCAAGTTGACAACAATGGAGCATAAACCCAAGGGCAACCCTATGACTAGTGTTCTGAAAATCATAATTGTGTCATAATTCATAAGATCATTTCTATTTTTACAAACTTGTCAAAACATTAAAGACAGATATGCTAAAAGGCTAAATGTATATAGAAATCCCTATTTTTAATCCATATCTACCATATATGTACCTAAAACAATAGAATTTGCCACTTATACAATATAAGTCTAAGATGATATAATCAACTTTGACGTGAAAGTCAAATAATACACACACAATGGCTCCTTATCCTGCATATTATGGAAAATAAACTCAATATATGGTCTTAAATAAAATAAATAAATCAATTCCTAGTAAGGTCCTTAAAACAAATCACCCTTGGCAAAAATAAATATAAACAAAACAAAATGCCAAAGTAGAGTACTAATTCTTAATTGAATTGCTTTGAATTGCAGTAAATTGCAGAAAACATATAAACTGTAAGATTTATGAATCAAATCATATGATACAAACAAAAATCGTAAAATTTTTGCAAAAAAGTATTCAGATATAAGATTCGAATCGAAACCCTTGGGTTTCATGATCCAAATTGTGAATCATATCATAAATCATAAGATCTTGACAACACCGCTTATGACCTATTTATATTATGCAAGGAAATACAACTTACTACCCCTTCTGTCAGTAACAAAGAAATATTTGAATAAGGATGCAATTATGCAATGTCACAACCTTAGAATGTCATAATAAATTTAAAGTGCCATTAAAGAATAGCTTTATGGCTCAAAAAGAACTGCTGATAAAGCTCATTTTACTTTTCAAAATTGATGACAAAAGATTTGAGACTCCAACATTGTGTTTATCCTTTGATCTTGAGTTTTTTATTGTGTTGCTAGATGAGAGTGCATGTTATGATGATCAAATCCTTGCACTAGTGGGGCTCCATCCCAGACGGTGTTTTAAAAGCGAAAGGCGCAAGGCGAGGTGCGCGCCTTTTTGAGGCAAGGCGCACAACTTAAAAAAAAATTAAATAAATAAATAGAGCTAAAAAATAAAAAATGTCAAAAAATGCCAAAAAAATCAAAAAATTATAAAACATAATATTAATAAAAATATAAAATAAATGTTTTAAAAAACCTATTATCAAAAATTAAAATACATAAACATAATATGTAAAGCATATTCAAATGAAAATTTAAAAATGAAATCAAACATATAAAACATTTTCAAGCATATAAAACCCACAATCTCATCAAGTAGCTAATGTGACATATTACATTCCTAATTCTTTTATTAGGATGAATGAATGGACAGCATTACCCTCAAGGAGCATGGCACGGGGTCCGAGGGCGGAGCCCCCAGCCCACCTGCTAGACTCAAAAAAGGAAAAAGCGTCAAATTCTCAAAAGGCACATGCCTGGGCTAAGGCGCAAGGCACACCAAGCGTACGCCTTTTGAATGGGTTGTGCCTAGGACCTGGGCAAGGCGCCTACCCTAAAATGCACCTCGCCTATGCACCTAGGCACGCCTTTTAAATCATTGATCCCCAGTGATTTAAAAGGCGCGCCTCAGGCGTGCCTAGGCGCACAGGCGAGGTGCATTTTGGGGTATGCGCCTCACCCAAGTCCTAGGCGCACCTCTTTCAAAAGGCACACACCTGGTGCGCCTAGGCATGCGCCTCAGCCCAGGCGTGCGCCTTTTTAAAATTTTGCGCTTTTTGCTTTTTTTTAGTTTAACGGCTCCAAGAACCCCTTATTTGCTTATGTTGTTCATTCATTCATTGCAATAAAATATCTTCTTAAAAGGCAATCAAAGTTGTAAAATCATTATTTTTTATGTGAGAAATAAGAATTTTAGACCCTAACATAGACTTGTTCAGGCTTGCCTTGAGGGGCGTGCTACAAAGGTGACTCATAGAATCAAGAACGCAATATGCTTTACATCACATTAACTACTTGGAGCAATGCAATTAAGGAAAGAAAAAAAAAAGAGATTGTGGATTTTACATGCTTGAAAATGCTTTATATGTTGGCTTTTATTTTTAAATTTTCATTTGAATGCACTTTACATGTTACGTTTATGTATTTTAATTTTAGATAATAGGTTTTTTAAATCATTTATTTTAAAACTTAAGTTTATATTTTTATTAACATTATGTTTAATATTTTTTAAATTTTTTTGGCATTTTTTTGGAATTTTCTGACTTTTTTTAGCTTTTTTTTTGTAATTTTGCGCCTTTCTTAAAAAGGCACGCACCTCGCCTTGCGCCTTGTGCCTCAGGCGCAAATTGGCCCTTGCACTTTTTTTGTGCCTTGCACTTTTAAAACACTGCTGATCCCAGAGGAGTTCATGGAACTAGAACTATGATCTTTCTTCTTACAATTCTCTTTAATGCATGTGTGGTTTTCCCCATTGTATAACTTCTTGTTGTACACTCTTTTTAACTTTTGACATTAATACAACAAATTACTATCCAGAAAAAAGAAATTTCTTATTACATTTATTTTTGGTGGATAGAAAAAAAATTAAGAGCAAGAAGTTAGTTCATATGATCATATCCTCTCACTATATGTTCTTAGAACCATCAATGAAATGCAAAAACAAGATTTTACTAGTACAGTTGATTGAAGATTGGATTAGGGTTACGGTTGTAAAATACCAACCAAATAATAGAGTCAGGTTGGGTTAGGGTTGGGAACCTCAGGTCAAAGATCGAGTTTTATTAGGATTAGTGTTGAGATTTTAATACATTGGTTCAGTCCAGGGCTGACATGAACCCAAGCCTAAGTTGCATCCCTACCTCAACTCTTTCATGCTATGGTTACATTGGATGAGCAACCCTGCAAGGATACTTTGAGTTAAAACGAGTGGCTATTGAGATGATAGAACAATGTAGAACCTACACACCTCCAATTGAACATCAATGTCAGTGCAAAAAATCTGAAAATTATGGATAAAACAAGGTTGAATCTTGACAATAGATCTACAGAGGACACCAACCATCTACTAGATTTGTCAAGAATCAGACAAGGAAAATATCGGTATTACTTTTTATATAATTCACAAACACAACTACAAAACAAAACCAAGTTTTTGAACAAAAGTGTCACATGCAAATTCAGAATGCTACATGAAGCATTACCTGAAACAGAAGAATAACTAGAAGGTACCTCCTGCTGGTAAACTGATGAGATAGTAGGAACACTTCCTAGATGAGGAAATACAGGACCTGAATCCTCAACCAAAGCACCATCTCTAGCAACGTATGGTATATGCCCATCTGACACATAAGAAGAAGACTGTCCAGAGCTGAAGGATGAGGACTCCTGGATATGGCTTACTGGTGGCATATGGAGGTTTGTGGCAGAAACTGGGAACTGTTGCTGGCTTGATGCCATAAGTGATGGTTGTTGAGTATCAGTGTAATGAGCATCAACAGTTTGATGATACGGATCGTGATACACATTACTGGGGTCTTCTGGTCTGCCAACTGGAGGAAGTTGCGACGGAGGTTGTGGATTCTCCATTGCTGCCTTGGCTGCTGCCCATGCCCTGGCCCTGGCGGCCCAATCTTCCTCATTGTTGTGAGAAATGTTTCTATCTGCATCACAAAGCTCATGAGAAAATCAACTCTATGGATTACTACTAATATTTGCAGAGAAAAATGAAAGTCAAAAAAGAAAAATAACGGTACTAGGAATATCAGTAGCACTAACAATAATAATAGTATTGCTGACTTGGATGGGATTCTCTTCTTGACATTGGAAGTTGGAACCTTTCCAGTATGGTGTTTGTTGTGGCACCATGAAATAATTCTCCAACTTGAAGAGCAATATCTTTTTATTTTAAATTTTTAGAGGTGGGAAGAAGGGATGCAGAAAGATAGATGTCATGGTAGGCTATTCATTAAGGCTTTTCCTCCTTTTTAATGCAGTTTTTGGGGGCAAGAATCCAAGAGTGCCTGGGGATGGTGTAGGGGTGTCAATTGGACCAGATTTGGTCCAATCCGATCCAGTCCATTATGAGTCCATTACAAATGGATCAGGTCCAATCCAATCCAATGAATACTTTGGACCATTTTGGACCAGTCCATTTCAATGTCTGGACTGTCCAATCTGTTCAAATTGGTTTTAATTTAGATTGATCCCAACCCAAACCTGGTCCATTGACACTTATATTCTTAATGGACCAGATATTGGTTCAACCCGACCCACTCCAATATAAATCTATTATGGATGGACCAGGTCCAATCCAATCCAATCCAATAAATACTTTGAACCATAAGTCTGGACTGGTCCAATTCAATATGTCTTATTGGTTCATCCAATTCATCCAAATTGATTTTAATTTGGACAGGGTCCAACCCAAAACTGGTCCATTGACACCCCTAATGGTGAGTAATGAAGTGGTGTGAAACCCAACGTTTAGGAGGCATGTCATTTGTCAGAAGGCCAATTTTGTACCATATCTCTTGTCTTATAATCAACAGGTTAAAATTCCCCATACAAGAAGGATAATGGGACTAGGAAACATAATCCTAGTGCTTAAGTCCTTCTAACTACCCCCACTGTCATGGAGGTGTGTCATCCTCTCTATGGAGTTGGACTTGGACTCAAAGTGTTCCATCCAAATATCCCTTTCTCATGTGGACAATGTACTAAAAAGTCTAAAATGAAATCCTCATCATTGATCACTTGACTGCACAAGGGACCCAGAAAACCTATGCTCTTTACATTGCAAACATGATGAATGGTGTCTCACCTGCTTCTCCATTGTGAGTTTTCATCTAAGCTGTTATTCACTTCATCAAGTTGTCTAAATGACAATTGGTTGTTCCAGGTAACATGCCTTCCTGATGTAAAACCATAGAAAAGGAAAGAAGATTTCTTGGAGACAGAAGACCAGATATGATAGAAGTTTAATTTGGGGACCCATGTGGTTATGATAGAAGTCTGTAAGTTCTCGTTGTCCATTGTGTCACTAATAGTGTGCTGCAACTTCAAGTTTCTCAAGAAATAGAGGCAGTTTGGTCATTTTGTTTTCAGTCATGCTATAGTAAGTTTTCTTTTGCTGGGGGAATTCTATAATTTTGATTTATGATGAGTTACCATTATGTAACAATTAAAGTTACAAGTTGTCATAATGTGACAATGAAGGTCATCAGTTATCTGATGTGACAATGGAGGTGATGAAGTGTCTGTGAAGTAATCTTTGAGGAGGTAAAAGTGTTAAGCCTAGGATTATTAAGTTACCTCTCAAGTAATTTCTAAATTCTAAATGGGTGAAAGTATCTAGGAAGTTACTTATCACCCCTTAAGTAACTCCAAGTTGGCACTTGGTAACTGCTGAAATATTAGCTGAAAGCTGAATCTGAAAAGATTCCAATTTTAAAAATGTGGCATTCAGCATTTCAGTAACTCAAAACCTACTTAATTGCTGAATGATGAAAAACAGATACTGAGTGGTTATTTTACCCCAAAAAATTTTATCATATACAAACAATATCCCCAGATTTAAACCATTTTTATGTTTGAAATCTTTTCAACATTCCCCATAAACACCCTTGTACAGATACTCCAGCTCCAGTCAAGCTATCAGTTAGGGTGTTAGCCGATATAGGGATCCACTAAAATGAGCAGTCAAGCTGCTTCAAATGGATTTGGCTTCCCTAACCAAATTTCTAAACCTCCAGGGTGACTCCTGAAAAAAGCCAAGAAATAACAACTTGGCAATCACCTTCTATTTGTACATTTCTCAAATTTTGTTGTGCCATCATCTTGTGACCTTGGATTAAAGCCAGCATCTCTGCTCTCAAAGAGTTGCCAAAGCCAACAGCCCCTGAAAAGCTCATCAAGTTGCTGCCACCCTTTACCACCCACCAGGGTTGCCTAAACAGCACCCATCAAAACTACATTTTAGCCTGCAAGCCTCAGGGAGTTTGCCAATTGATTGTCCTCTGTAGTCTTCTAAGTGACACACTAGCAATAATGTTCTATCGCCTTTAACCAACCATCCATCTGTCTTCACATCTTGAAACTCATATACCAGGTTCCAAGAAATATTTCTATTAATAAGGTTGCCACATCAGAAATGGATTTGTTTTTTATGCAAAGAAAGGTTATAAATCCTAGGAAAGAGATGCAAAGGGGTAATTCAAAACACTAAGAGCATTAAATACTAGAAACCATGACCTCCACTAGGACCACTTAACTCTGAACTCATGAACAACTCTTTCTATTTTTCTTGTTGAACAAGAAATTCAAATTCAAAGAACATACTCAAATTATTCCTTTTTTATAAACACACTCCAATAAAAAAGGCCATATTGATCAACATCATGGGCAGCACAACTATATAGTTTGTGGGTTCCATGTGTCCGAATGGCGGGATACAGGACTCCCATCCACATATTTGCACACTGAGCTGAAGACCTTGAATACCCTGAAGGTTCTTTACTCTCACCATTAAATTGATTTTAAATCCAACTGCTAGTGCTTTCTACTTCACTCTTGGTAACCTTTCTAGCATTTACTACACAACACATTTGCAGATAATGCAATTTATTATCAGTCTGGTGCAGATGAGATAATGATATGGAATTACAATCGATAAATGCCAAGCTATGCCACCCAATAACAAGCATGTCATTATTCTAGTCCCATGGTCAAATGAAAGCCTTCCCTTCTTCCTCCTAAGCCCTAACTATAGTCAGTGTTTCCACCTATTTGACAAAGAGAAGACAAGGGAAAAAGACGATCTCCGGGCTCCAGCAAGTAGGATCATGAGCTTAGCCTTCAAGCAAAAGCACCTTAGTCAGATATTACAGGTAATTTGCCTTCAGTTAAGGAACTCCAGGTATTATAATAACAGCAAAAATCACCTAATTTCTTCCCCTCGCGCTGTACATAAAGAACAAAAGAACTATCTATGCATAAAAGTTATTCCTTTGATAACAAAACATACATTAAGAATTTGATAGGTGAAGATGGACTGAAAGTAAAAGCTAATTAACTGGTGATTAGTACAAGGCATGGAAATGGGGAAAACATTAGCATAAGTAAAGCAAAGCACAGAACAAGACACAAATTATTACTAACCTGGATATTCCCGACCTTGATAATGAGGCCAATTTGGATTTCCCCATGTCTACAAGCATTTATGAATAGAAGAAAATATGTAAATACATGAAAGAATAAAATTAATAAACCTCATTCTGCATCAACTTTGTGATATAGTAATCCAATAAAAAAGAACCCAAAATCACTACTTAGAGGAAGCCTTCCAAGACAAGAAAAGGAATATGGGGTAACATATGAGAGATATGTAATCCACGCTCCAGAAAATCGAATGATATTTTACATAAATTTTAATATTTGTGTATCTAAATGACTTGCAGACATGAGGAGACTTTCAGAAGAATATGAAATATATAAAATCATAGTATTACTGATGCTTGTACCAAAGAAGTGAGCGGATATGGGCCACTCAGAAAAATATAATGATGCCTTATGAAATTGATTATGTATATAACTTATCAAGAAAATTTGATTATGCATATAACTTTATGGATACAACAAAGGAAATAAAGAACTTGATTCAACACCATTACTACACATTCATTATGAACCTTAAAGAAAAGAAAATTAACAGAAGGTGATTTGAGCAGAATGAAACAATCCCAACCTTCAAATTGCAAATCAGAAAAAGAGGCAACCAAGTACAAGTGCCTTATCAGGGATTTAAATTTTTGGGCTTCTTTTCGCTTGGCCCTCTTCAAGTTAAATGCAACTTATCTATGTTGATTACATGCTTGATGGACCCCTAATGGCCAGAAAAAAAAATAATAATAATTGATTTATAATTATCCAGAGATTATCTGTCTCTTTGCATAGAATGTCATAATTTTCATGGGACAAAACATCTTCTACAAAGCAGGCAAAAAGAAAGTCCTCGGAGTTTTGCATGATTTATATTATGGAAAGTGAGCTTCTAATTCAAGTTTGATCCAGTTTCCCCATAAATCACAATTTATCAGCTTTTTGAGTTCTTATCTTTTCTACTAATGCCTTAAACATGAGAAAGTGATCTATCAAGTCAGTCCTATTCGCAGTCAAAATTTCGAGGAAGTGATGAACTGAGGCCAGAAAGGGACGTTTAAACCATCACAGGACGTTTTATACCCTTCATGAATGAAATTTAACAGTAACGAGTTTGGAACAAGTTAGCAAGACATGATAACATTACAGCATCAATAGAGGGGGGAGGAAGAAGAAAGTATAAAATTCTAAATCCAACAGTTCGTCAAGAGGTGGTTAAAGAACCATAACCTTTTCTATTGCATCTTAGCAATAAAAAGGACAGAAGGAAAAACTAATTGCCCCACCACTAATCGTAACAGAGAGCCCAACGTTCCTCAACTCACGTAAACAAATAAGGGAAATCACAGGGAACGCCTCGCGCCCCCAACCAAGTAAATAAAATGCGTCAAACAACACAACACTGGAAGTACGCATGCAATTTGGCACTCCATTCTTTCACTTTCCATGAGCCAGATAACAATATTCAGAGAAACGAACAAAGATAGTCTAGTAACTAAAAGGCCGGCTTAACGGAAAACTGCTAACCCTGATTCGTAGCAGAATAAAAAGGGTGTGTGTGAATTGTCTACCTGATTGGACTGAACATAAGCTTCAGGAAACCGAGGAGAAGGTTGAGGATGGTGGTGAAGAGGAGGGGGAGGAGGCACGTGCGGTGGTCGAGAAGGGGTAGGGTACTGGTTGTGGTGAGGGTGCCCGGGATACGGCGGAACGGAATTGTGGTGAGGCGTAGGATAAATTTGCTGATGATCGGAATGAAGGGGCCACTGCGGCACCTGTTGTTGATGTTGCTGATGAGGGTGCAGCGGAGGAGTCTGCGAAGGTTGATACTGAAACTGGCCGGAGTACCAGGGCCCCTGAGGTGGTGGTGGTCTCAGTTGAGAATCTGCAATTGGTGGTTGTGGTGGCAGTGGTGGAGCTGCTCCCGCCGTTGCTGGTCTCATGAATCTGTGAAGTTGTTGAAGAGCATCCATTTGTAATATCTCCTGTTTCTCTTCGCAAGTAAGGGGGAGCTTTTGATCTTCTAACGGGAATTTGGAAGGATGGTGGATATGATATGGAGTAGAGAGGCGGGAACAAATAGACGAATTAGGGAGGGTAGAGGGGATTTGGGTGGGAGGGGAGAAATAGGGAGAGAAAGCCAATACAGATTACAGTGTACAGAACAGACAGGGGAGGAGGCCAGGAGGCAGGAGGGATTCGTTTTTTACTCTTTTTAGGGCAAAATTCATTTTCTCCCCTAAACATAGCCAATAGTCAATACCTATAAGGTTACAGAATCCTCTTTTTTCATTTTAACTATTTATTTATTTCTCGTTTATTAATAAAAGTGCAGGTGCAAGTATTAAAGATATGGTATTTGCCTATTTAGACTTGATTTTATAATAATCTGACTCACAACCAAAGGCAAAATATACATATGGATTATTTAATACCTACACATTCTGATTTATTTTCAAATTCCCCTACAAATTTAGTATGTTATAATTGATTGGTCATTTGGTTGAGCTAGCCGGGACCGTGGAAACTGCATTTTGGTTACGTAGGCCCAATGTTGTTGAGCTTTTAACTAGTGTATGGTTAATCTTGGTCTAATCTAAGCTCTCTCCAAAATTAGGGGTGTTTATGGTTCGGTTAATTAGGTATATTTTTTAAATTGAATAAAATTAGGGGTGGTTGTGATTTGATTAATCAGTATGGGCTTATTTTTTAAATCAAATCGGTATTATCAGTTTTTTGAAAAATTGTGAATCGAAATTAATTGGATTTTGAAAATTATAATATATTTTTATATATTATAAATATATAATATAAATACACATAATATATTATATTATAAATATAAATAATATAATATATATTATAAATATATAATGTATGTAATTTATTTACAATATATATATATATATATGTATATGTGTGTGTATGTGTAAAAAATATATATAACATACATATATATATATACATACATACATACATACATTGGTCCTGATCCGTTCAATTAACCATCACTTTTATTTCAGTTTTGCCAATTCCATTATGTTTTTCAATTTTTGATAACCACCCCTACCCAAAATATGTAAGTATGTATATATGGCCAAGGAGATGGTAGGCTCTGGTGTAACGATTAGGTTACTCCATTGCAACATGTGGTTAAAGTTCAAATCTTGGAAGCAATCTGTCTATATGTGTAAGACAATATAGGGTCAGGATCGAGCTTGGGGTTGGTCCTTTTTACTTATAAAGAGGCAAGCCCAGCCCAAAACCCGGGCCACTCCAGCCCATTAACAAATATACTCACCATTAACTCTCTCTCTCTCTCTCTCTCACTCACTTCCTCCTTCAGTAACTCGTGGCACTAATTCTCTCCATTACTCCATTGAATTCATTAACCTAATTTATATCTATTTCAATTTAACTATAATTCTAAATACACTAAATATATTTACATTAAATTATGATCATTGATAAAAAATAATTATATTAAAATAGAGATATTCAGTGATTAATTATATTATTAGGCCAAATAATCTGCTTTGTTTAAAAAGATAGTTAATTTTTAAGTTAATTAATCAAATAATTTGTTTTTCAAATTAAATATTATTTACTTCAATCAACAAATAAAATCAATATTTTAAAAATTGGCTTAAACAGGTCAAACAGCTAGTTGTTCCTAATCCAATCAAATAATTAAAAATATAATATAATAAAGAAAGCCCTCCAATTTCCCCTTGATATTCATTCTCCAATATGCTCAGGATCAGTTTTGCTTGTTTCAACTTGGTTAGTACCCAAACCAGCTATCTATATGGAATCTAGGTTAATTGCATTGGATATTTGTGTTAGGGGCTGTTTAACCAATAATAACACATCCCATGCAACCCACACACAAAGCGATATATTGGACTGATTGCATGGCTTATATTCTCGGTTAAACAGACTTAAAGTCCAACTAATCTGGACCCACCTATATGCATATAATGAGATCACATCAACCCCCCACAAGGGGTGTCTCATAACGTCCCATAGCACATCCCAGCCATGTATTAGGAATATCTCCCGATGATGTTTCATTATTTCTTGTATTTATTATCTGGATATGTTTCCAATACAAGACTAGAATGTGTTGTGGGACACCCCCTTGTGGGGGCTGATGTGAACTCGCATATAACGTCATGCATAACGGACATCACTTTTACACTATACACACTACATCCAATATTTTTTATTTAACAGTGTTCAATTGAAAACTTGACAAGTGGTGTTGGTAGTGGCCTATTGCAACCATATTAAATAGTTAGAACAACAACGGCCAAGAGTGATCTCTTTTCTATAGCAGCCTAGTCTAGGCATTGATTTTGAGTTAAAATTATAGTAAATTCTCAATTCCTTGTTCTGTGACTTATGATGGTAAATTTCAACGCCAATCAGTTGGTATCATAAAAGAGGCAATAAATCAGGTGGTATTAATCACAATCTAGGGTGTTACAGTCTGACATTGACTTAGTCTTACTTATGCTTTTATGGGCGTATGTTGAGTTGCACTATCATAAATATCATTAATATGATTTTTCGAAGAAGTGATGTTTCCTATTGGCAGACCTTTAAAAGCTCAGCATACTCTTTGAGGAGGGGTGGTCAACCTCATTGGGTGCCTAACCTTGGCACTCTTAGACCAACATCCCTTATGGGGGGCCTTAGTTAATGGATAGCATGGCTACCAAGGTTCCTCATGGGCACACACACACTCATAGGGGCAATGCATGGATTGGCACTACGCAGCCCACATGAAGGGGAGGCTTTCCATGCAAGTTTGGCCCAAGCATGTCCCTACATCTCGTCAACCCCATGCCTAAACTAATCGAGCTACCCTATTGCCCATAGTGCACGGGTGTGCTCATCGGCACATGTGCCTCTCATCATGGCAATCCCCCTTTGGCACGTAAGAGGTGCCTCCCATGGACTAATAAGAGCCACAGATAGCCCCGACCATGAGCTACAAGGTCATGATTCAGTGCCACTGACCTTGGTGGAGCCATCATCGGGTCGACACATGTCCCTTAAACACATCAAACTTGTCATAGCTGCACAACTTTCTTCCACTACAAATCTACCTCGTGATAATTGGTATCATAGCAGATAAGCCGACTACTGTCGTAGCTGGTATCAGAGCAAACAACAAAGCCAATTGAAAGTGGTCATCTTGACAAGCAGCCACATCGTGGGGTGCAATCCCTTGGCACTCCCACTCAGGTTCAAGCAAGCATCACACACCATACCTAACAAGAGGCCAATCATCGTGTCCCCATTCCAATGGCCCCGAAGCAGTGCTCATGCGGGGGCAGACACATGGGCCGTCTCATGGGAGGCATATTGTAGTGGTTTGAGTGGGGAGTGCCATGCTTCCTCAATGACATCAGTCGTTGTTCATTTTAGTAACGGATGAGCCTACATCTTGGTTTCATGACGGATGAGTCATTGTTTTGTAACTTGTCAAATTCACTACTAAGGCGGGGATGACAATCTGAAATTGGTTGGTGTCGATGGTTAGTCAAGGAATATCACTGAAGTGGTAATTTTGCATCAGCAAGGGTCATTTGTTGAAACCACAATATTGGAATGTTAGGAATGTGGGTACACTTGTCGTTGGAGTATGGCGGCAATAACACCGGCATTGCATTGAAGGACATGCTCAACACACATCAATGTAGAACATTCGCAACATTAACACACATCACATAGGCGAGTGCATTTTAGGCAACATCATGGGTAAAAGTTTCCACCACTCGCACATAAAAGCAGTCGGATCCTTGAGGCAAAACATATCGGAACCCCCTCGGAGTGATGATGTAGCCCAAACACAATGAGGTAAAGTATAGTTTCGAGGGCCAAAAGAGCATAAGCCATGACTAAGTTTGAGTAATTCAAACATAACGAGGTGAAGTCCGTAGGGCAATACAGTGAAAGGGTTCCCAGGACACTATGTCAATAGCAAGAAAAAAACCTATCACATCATATTTGGTAGCACCACCAAAAAGCTACCAAGAAGACGATCGAGCTTTGAGGTAAAGAGAACACAAAGCAGACCTCTAGGAAGCACACACACATAACATCTTCGAGGGCCATACACACATACACAAAGGACACATACACAGTCATTGTGTGGTTTGAGTAACCCCAACCCAACAGGTGAAGTCCAAGCAGGCCAGCATGGTGAAATGGTTTTGTCCCCATAAATGGATATCAACATAGGTGAGACTTAGGTTGACCAGACAACCCTAACCCGGAGCACATGTGGATGGCAAGGAACACAGACGCCCATTCACAAAGGAGTCGTTGTTAGGATGACAACATATTGAGTGGGGGAGCCTATCATGGTCTGACATAAGCTTAGCCTTACCTATGCTTTGTGGGTTTATGTTGAGTGGCATTATCATAAATGTTGTCAGTATGATTTTTCAGAGAAGTAATGTTTCCTATTGGCAGATTTCCAAAAGCTTAACGTACTCTTTAAGGAGGGGTGGTATATCTCCTTGGGTGCCTAACTCTAGCACTCCTAAACCAACATCCATTGTGAGACGGCCCTAGTTAATGGCTAGCATGGCTACCAGGGTCTTTCATGGGCATAAACATGCTCATGGGGATAGTGCATGGACCGGCACTGCGCAACGCACATGAATGGGAGGCTTTTCATGTGGGTCTAGCCCAAGCATGTCCCTACACCTCTCCAACCCCATGCCTAAGCTGATCGAGCTATCCCGTTGCCCATAGCACATGGATGTACTCAGGCCCAACGGTTGCCTATCATCATCGACACAACAAGTGCCTCACATCATTGACACAACATGTGCCTCTCATCATGGCGATCCCCCTTTGGCACGTAAGAGTAGCCTCTCATAGACCGGCAAGAGCCACAGATAGCCCCGGCCATGAACCGCGACAATGCCACTAACATTGGTGGAGCCATTATTGGGTCGACACATGGCCCTTACACACACATAAGCTTGGACGTTGCATGGGGTTTCTTCCATTGCAAATCTACCCCCATGACAAGGGGTGCTTTGATTGGCAAAAGCTCTTTTGGTATTATGTCTTTCCTTTCCTATATAATAGATTTTCCCAATTTTATGGGACAATAGTTTTATTTGAATATTTTACGGAGAAGTACACTGCAACCCACTATAGAATTATGAAATTACAACCCCCCATAGTGTACTAGCCTCCCTATAAACCACATCCT